GCAGCTGCCGATTCATTCATTTCATCGATAAACGGACTGGTGGACGCCATATGGATATTATAAAAGAACGATTAAAAAAAGTGAGAAGTAATAGGAAAAGATTTCAAACAATTTCTAGTCGGTTTGGTTGCCCCAAGTGTATTTGTAGTATGTGGGACCGATGTTGGCTCTTCTTGCCACAATGACAATGACTCTCTCGTGCTTTTGATTATCCTCGGTAAGTGGGGGGAAATAGTTAATAATAGTTCCTTAATAGTTCCCTTTATTCCTTTATAGTTCCTTTATAGTTCCTTTATAGTTCCTTTATAGTTCCTATTGAGTCTCTATAGTTCTTTATAGTTCTTTTATAGTTCCTTTATACTAGGTTCGTGCAAATGAAATTTCGTTTTAAACAAACATTAAAGTCATCCAAAAATTTTTTTGATAACAATTTATTTAAAATAATAAGCACCATTATTAGCTATGACATCCCTCCAACGTTGCTACAGATTGCGGATCCCCTCTCTGAAGAACGCTTGATTCTGTGATGCAAAGTAGTTGGTCACCTAATTTTCGACTTCTTTTGCATTCTTAAACTGGCAACCCTATGAACGTTGCATCGGATCTGAAAAGGTGAAAATCGGAGGGTGCTAAGTCTGGAATGTACGGGCGCATGTGGTAAGACCTTCCATCCTAGCTTCTCTAGTTCCTTACAAGAGGTTTTTTGCCGTGGGAGCTGGAGCATTATCACGGAGAAAGTTGATAGTTGAGGGATTTAGGCCTTTTTCACGCAAAATTTCGCTCAAACTTCTTGAGTTGCTGAATAAAATAAGATGAATCGACTGTTTTCCGGGCTCTAATAATTCAAAATGAACAAGTCCATTGATATTCCACCAGCAAGACAACATCACTTTGCGCCCATGATAAACTGGCTTTGGAGTTGGAATTGGCGCTTTCGACCTTTGCTCAGCCATTGTCTTTTCGAGAAGTATTATCAAAGTGAATCCACTTCCTCATCCATCGTCAAGATATTCTCAAAAAAAATGGCTTCTTTCGACTTCTGGAGCAAGATATGGCTGATCGGAACGCGTGTGCTCCCAGACTCTCAACACTCAATTGATGTGGAAACCATTGTCCATTACGATTTGTCTTTCCACTATTTCCAAAATGGCGTACAATTGTTGAATTGGAGATGTTGGCAAGTTCCTCGTGTTGTTTTGCATTGGATCAGCTTCAACGAACTGTTCCAATTCATTGTTGTCGATGGCTGTGGCACGATGTCCATGCGATTCGTCTTCAAGGGATTCATTACCATCTCGGAATTGGGCAAACCAGAGCTGGCATGATCTTTTTGCGATAACTGTTCTCCAAAGGTGGAACAGAGATCACGATGTGAATCAGCAGCGTTTTTGCCCATTTTGAAGTCATAGAGAAGACACGTGCGCAGAACATTACTTTTTGATCCAATTATGATCTAAAGTAAAAAACAATTAAAAAGTGAAAGTTCTGACTTTGAAAAAAAAAGAAAACAAAGCAATGATTCAAGAGTACAAATGCACAAAAGAACATCAAATAAGCTCTTCAGATTAAAAAAATAAGAACATTTTATATCGACTGAAATTTCTTTTTGCACCAACCTTAATAGTCTTTATGTCTTATAGTTCCTTTATAGTTCTTTATAGCTCTTTATAGTTTCTTTAATCTGATAATATAGAATATTCAGTTATCCACTTTTTCAGCCACTCCGGGCGCTTGTTGATCACTCAAAAGGCGATGTGTTTACCCTCATTTCGGAGACATCGAGCCGCGTGGGCGCATTTTCATGGGCTGCATGGCACTCCTCCTCAAAGGCCAATGTATTTTCGAGATTGAGGTTTGATTTCCTCGATATATAAAAGCTCTTGAAACTTGACTTTGGATCTTGCCTGGAGACTTAGGAGCTTAGGAAAAACAAAAAATTACCGTACTCTGCCTAAAAACCTATTGAAGGTTCGATAAAGTTTCGAGTATTTTTGGTACTTTCATTACCTTCATAATTTCATTTCTCTTTATAGAGCTGTTCAATCTAATTTAAATCAATTCTTTGAATTCTTATTGTTAAAAGTGTACTCTTCATATTTTTGTACTCTTTCAGCAAGCAAGTACTTTAGAGCAATCAAAAGTCCCCTTAAAACTTTGATCTCCAATAGGCGTCAGTTGGAGTACGATAGTTGGAGTACGCTTGTTCGTAAGCGGATTTTTTGGAAAAAAAACTTTTTATAGGTTAATCTCTGAACCTTCCCTATCTATATTTCTATATTTTGTGTCGATTGCCACAAATTCTTAATCTATTTTCATCTATTATCATTCTACGTAAACAATTTAATTCTCTCACAAAATTATCACGGAATTTGGCATTAATGTGGGAGCAAGCTTTGAAAAAAATTGGGCAACTGTCCTAGAGAAGTTGGTCTAGAATAAAAAATAAATCATAAATAGCCAGAGAAAAACCCCATGAAATTTGATATTGATGCACTGAAAAAAAGGGAACTTTTTGTTATTCAGTGAGCTCTTTCTTTCATATTTTTGTATCGTCATCAAGATCCTTATTCTTTTTTTTTCCCATCTTTTCCCTAATTTCTTTCTCTTCTGAGGAGTTGATGGGGAAAAGAATGGGCATCTCGATGACGATACAAAATATGAAAGAAGAGCTCACTGAATAACAAAAGAGATTGAGGTTTTCGGATTTTGTGGGGATAAGATGGGTTAGATAAATAGATAGTTTGGGTTTTCGAAGAATGACAATAAACAAAAGAAGCTTAGTTGCAAAAGAAATCCCGTATAATTGCACGGGCACCGCTGAATTTGTGGCCGGTATGACCGACATCGTGCAAACGTTTGTGTATGGAGCTGTTTTAAGTGAGGAGAATTTGCGATAATAAAAATAAGTCAATAAATAAGATAACAAATAACTTTGAATATAAAAAAGCCAGCGAAAAACGCGTACTAACGTCCACGTGCACCAACGTCCACGCGTCAGACGGACGGCGCACAGACAGATGGACGGATGGCGTACAGACAGACGGACGGAGGGCGCACAGACAGACGGACGGACGGCGCACAGACGGATGGATGGACGGCGCACAGACGGATGGACGGACGGCGCACAGACAGACGGACGGACGGCGCACAGACGGATGGACGGACGGCGCACAGACGGATGGACGGACGGCGCACAGACAGACGGACGGACGGCGTATAGACAGACGGACGGACTTCAAAATTATATATAGCAGATAATAAATAACAAATAACATAATGAATATAAAATGAATAAGAAATAACTTTGAAATGACTATAGTTTAAAGTCTAACTTTTCAGATTTACATCCGGAAATCTTGCCACCGTTTTCATCCTGTTCATCGGGCTTCGCGTATATGAATTTTAGGTTGAGTTTTTTGAAGAAGAAACTTTTACCTTAAAATACTGTAGCCTTGTTTCACTATTAGAATAATTATAATATTAGGTTGAGTACTAAAGCCCTATAATTAATTTCGATTTCATTATCTAAACTTTTGGGGAGTGGGACAAATGCGACAGATTCCCCCCCCGGAATTTAAGCAAAAAATTCTGTACCTTCCCGGTGGCAAAAAGTGAGGAGGAAAGGTTTAAAAGTTGGATAAAATCACCCTCTATTCCAAAAGTTGTTTTTCTAGGTGAATTTTAGGGCATAGAATCGGAAATTTTGACAAATCAGAGCTTGTGGAAACAAAGGGACAGAGTTATACAAAGAGAAAAAATCAACAATTTTCTGTAATTTGACCTAGCCGTTTTGTCTTTCAAATTGGCGGAAGAAGCTCTGTTATGTCAAAATTTGAATTCGACACCCTCAAATTACCTAGAAAAACAACATTTGTAATAGAAATTGGTTAATATTAGCTTTTTGTTTTTAAAACGCGAAAAAAGGTGCGCTAATGGGCAAGGTGCGGAAAAAGGGTGCGGGAATGTCCGGGTGCGGAAAAAAGGTCGGATTTGTCCCACTCCCAAATTCTTAAGTTATCTTAAACTACCAAATGCCAATCAGTTTCTTTCAATAGAAAACGTTTATCGCTCATTTATCATTAAAACAAGTTTTACTATTTTAGGAATAATCTGTGAGTTTTCACTGATTTTAAAAGTATTGAAAAATAAAAACAACAAATAAAGAAACCGATAAAACGAAATATTCCGAGTTTTTAGTTGTAGAAATAACTTTTTGTGCGCTATTCTTTTTCTTTTTGTCATCAAAATAGGTTTGATTGAAAGAAACGATCCAAAACTAAACGAATCTTTATCTTTTTTTGAACACTCGGCTTCTTTGCTAATAAAAAATCTTCAAAATAAAGCTTTTCAAAACTTTCAAACGTCATTTGTAAGAGAAATTAAGCTACTTAATGGAAAAAAAGCCGTCATGGAACCGTATAGGAACCATATTGGAACCGGGGGGGGGTTGTATCCGAACCATATTGGAACCAAGACGGTTTCATTTTATAGCTTGAGACTTATTCAATTAGAAAATGAATTTGCGTGAAAGACTTTGTACTTGATCTAATATTTAGTCAAGAAGACTGTCAGTTGAATGACAGTTGAATACTGTGAGCTTTCTTCGATTAGAAGATCGGGTAAGGGGGGGGCATCGTGTGGGGGGGGTAGAAGCCAAACACTTTTCGGTATAAAAGCTAGGAATCAAAAGCTATAGAGCTGGAAAATGACGCAAAAATAGCACATGAGCTAACAGATTTTTGAGCCATTTTCCAGCTCTATAGCACTTGATTGAAAGCTTTTATGCAGAAAAGAAATTTTGTATGGGGTTGCTACGCAGGAGCAAAGGATGATGATACTATTACCCGGTCTTCTATTCGAAGAAATACGGTACTTTGTATACAATAGTAAAGCATTGACAGCTGATAGCTTTATTGCTTTACTTCTATCTGTTTAAATTTAAAAATCTTATAACTTTGTGAATAGTACGAACACAAAGGAAACAACGGCACTCAGCAGAAATGTTCCGATTTGCGTGCAGTGAGCACAAAGTGAGTCTTATTGAACGAACACCAACTGAAGTGTGCCCTGACTACCGTAATCGCAGCTCAACCTAGATTTAGTCTTGCATCTGACGACAATTTAGCAACTGCTACCATCTATTACGGTTTAGAGATACTAGGGTCACGCTTTAGAGCAGCTACTTGACGCTTAGTGTTCGCGTAAAGATTTATTTGATATTTATTTGATATTTGAAATAATTTAAAGCTATGCAACTATTCAAATTGAATCTAATAAAATAAAGTTAAATCTATTTGAGTCAAAACCCATAAAAAGCTTTAGAGCTTTGAGATTATGAGTCGAAAATCGAAGGTCAGTTTTACCAATGAAAAAAAACTTTTTCTATTTCTTTCACGTTAATGTCAAACCAATCAATTCTATATGATGTCCTGTTTAAAAAAAACAACTTCGAAAGCGTTTCCTTCGTGGTGTACTTTGTGCTGAAAGGAAAAAAGCACCCTCTTTCTGGTGTTCAACCCGTTTTTTCACTGATTTCTGTGAGAAAATGAACCAGAAAGGGTGTTTTTGTAAGAATTAAAGTCCTTTTTTAGGGGCTTTTGTGTTAAACTTGTGTTCTTTGTTTCAAATTTGATCTAAATTTGATCGAAATTAATATAATTAGCTTGTAGTGTTATTTGGAAAGTGTTAAAAACAAAAGAAAACTATCAAAAAGTGATAGAAATGAAATAAAAACTTGTGCAATCTTGTGAAAAGTGAAATGTAAATCTTGAAAAAAAAGACAAGAAAATTTGAAAAAAACGACGAGAAACTTGAAAAAAATGAAAAATGACGAAAAATCGTTCTATTACAGTAATCCACGAATAAAAAGGGTCGCGATTTAGAAAAAAACAGAAGAAATGTCAACTTTTAGAAAAACGTTTCAGTTAAAATTTTGAAACAGTTTTTGGGCAAAATAGCTGGCGGGGGACAATATAGATCTAGGGGGGGGCACTGGGACCTGAGCACCTTTTCAGCACGTGCTTCAGGGGGGACGTTATTTGCGTTTTAAAAAAGTTTAAAAGCAAATACAAATCCACCCTCATTCCAAAAGTTGTTTTTCTAGGTACCTTAGGGCGTAGAATCGAAATTTTGGCATCTCAGAGCTTGTGGAAGCGAACGGACGGAGTTATACAAAAAGAAAAATCAACAATTTTCTGTAATTTGACCGTTTTGTCTTTCAAATTGGTTCCACACGCTCTGTTATGTCAAAATTTGAATTCGACACCCCCAAATTACCTAGAAAAAAATATTTGGAATAGAAATTGGTTAATATTAGCCTTTTAGAGCTTTTTTAAAACGCGAAAAAAGGTGCGCTAATGGGCAAGGTGCGGAAAAAAAGGTGCGCAAATGTCCGGATGCGCAAAAAAAAGGTCGCATTTGTCCCACTCCTAAAAAATTTGAAAAAAACGACGAGAAGCTTGAAAAAATTTGAAAAAAATGAAAAATGACGAAAAATCGTCTTATTACAGTAATCCGACGAATAAAAAGGGTCGCGATTTAGAAAAAACAGAAGAAATGTCAACTTTTAGAAAACGGTTTCAGAAAAGAAATTGAAACAGTTTTTAGGCAAAATACTTGAATAAGTATAACTTATAAAAAGGTCAGCTTTAAGGAAAAGGTGCGAAGTGCAACGCGTCTTCTCGCGTTTTCATCGTGTGCTCTTATCTAATCGCGAATGTTTTGAATCTCGTCATCACCGCTTGGGAGTACATTAGTCCAGAAAGTACTCAATCTGAGGAATACTATGATGTGAGTAAATATAAAGACTTGTACGCAACAAGCTTTCAGTTTTCTGAGTTTTCAGTAACTATAAATACTTGTACGTAAGAATCAGTCTAGGTTTCCAAAGGTGTAACCCCTAGATAGAATCTATGTTTTGGGCTTAATAAATCTATGTTTTGAAGTCAATGTTTCAGATCTATGAAATAATGACGGATATCGTTTCGGTGCTTTCATTTTCACTTGTGCCACGCGACTTCAAGCTTCGTTTTAGCAGTTGTAATAAAGTAAGGATAAGGGTTTTTCTCGATCTAAAGCAAGATATAAGTAGATGTAATTATTGATTTGATTGATTGAATTGATTGATTGAATTGATTGATTGAATTGATTGATTGAATTGATTGATTGATTGAATTGATTGATTGATTGAATTGATTGATTGAATTGATTACTGGGGGGGATATTGGATTGATTCATCAATTGATTCATTCACTGATTCATTCAATTGATTCATTCAATTGATTCATCCAATTGATTCATTCAATTGATTCATTCAATTGATTCATTCAATTGATTCATTCAATTGATAAACATCTCAAACTTTTTCAGGAGATTCGTGACATGGTAAAACTATATCTCTGCGGTTTAACGGCTGGAGAGAACCGTCCAAAAAAAGATACACTGTCTCGAACTCGCAAAGGTTTGAAAAGAGAAATAATGAAAACGACAAAGTTTAGATTATGTTTAGAGATTAAACTAAGCAAAAGATGGGAGGACAATAGTTTTTACGAGTTTTAGATCAACAAACGCCAGTGGGACACCATTTGATCGCGTTGCTGTGGCGGTGGCGAGAAGGGAGGTGTTGGGTGAGTATCAAAATCTACCAATGAAATTCAATAGTATTCCAATTTCAATAGCCATTCAATAGTAAGTTATTTCAAAGACAATCTTTCTACACCAAAATCTCAGCTAAGCTTGCGATCGGCCTTGCTTAAATTGGCTTTGTCTTCCACAGAAACTCTAAGCAAAATTTAGGTCTGTTCTTGTTTTGGCTCAAGAATCTGTCTACCAAACAACCTTGAACAACCAACAACCTTTTTCCCTAAAATCTAATGTCCTTGTTCCACTTTCCTTGTCTTTAAAAAAATCCTGATCTAAAGTGGGTCAGAAGAAACAGAGTCAGAAGAACCTCAGAGGCTAAACTAGAGGATCTGGCTGGTATGACTCAATTGGGGGACATTCTGCCTATGATCGTGCTGTTGTAGCGAATGCTGAAAAAGTACCGCAAGAATAGCGTGAAGTGAAAGTCGAAAAAACTTTCTGTAACAATCAAATCCTTACATACAAAACTTTTACATCGACAAATCAAATTCCTTCAAGAGCTTAGATCCAAAGACGAGCAGTCTCCCTTCACTAAGTCGTCTACGCAAATTCTCATGTTGCAAAAAAATGCTAGTCAAATTTGAATGTATGGGATTCGTTTTCTCAAACTACGGGTTTCATTAGATTCTTAGACTCTTTGCACAATAGATCTTTTCATTAATCTTCTCCCCCCCTCATTTCTATTAATCTTTTTATCAATCTTTTATCAATCTTTTTATCAATCTTTTAAACAATCTTTTCCCCCCCCCCATTTAATTTCACTTGTCTTTTTCGCTATCATTATTGGAATAAATAATGAAAATTTTTTTGGCAATCAGAAAAACTGTAAAACCGTAATCCACAGATCACCGTGATTGGGAAAGGAAAAGCACGAATTCGATGGATTTCTTTCCTCGATTAGAGAAATGAAAGTAGTACAGAAAGCAATAAAGTAAGCAGTAATTTAACGAGTCAACGACTCGGCTATTACAATATGCAAAAAACAACGTGAAGACTTATATTTTAAGGCATCTTTTAGAATAGAAAAGCTATTAATCTCGAATGAATGCACAGTGGATGCCAGGGATGAGTGGATGGGCACCGGCTCGGCTGAGTTGCTAAACATGCATTAAGTTATATTTTTAGTTTCTTGATTCAATATTGCAATACTATATTTATTTAAAGCTTACAATACTCACCAAGGTTGTTTTTTATTAGTTGTCTTAAAACCGACTCAAAGCTGTCTAGGAACTGACTCCAAAGCTGTCTTGAAACCGACTCAAAACTGACTCAAAGCTGTCTCAAAGCTGTTCCAAAACTGTCCTCAAAACTGTCTTAAAACTGTCTTAAAAACTTATACTTCAAAGCTGTCTCGAACCGACTCAAAACTGACTCAAAAGCGTCTTAAAACTGTCTCAAACTGTCTACTGACTCAAAGCTGTCTTGAAACGGACTCAAAACTGACTCAAAAGTTGCCCCAAAACTGTCTCAAAACTGTCCTACAGTACTCATCAAAAGAATCATAGTTTTCTCCTCCAAAAAAATCATAAGAATCATAGTTTTGTGGCGTGGCCTCCCTAACCTCGAGCATATTCCATCCGCGAATCTGTGTTCAACACGTAAGTTGTCGTGCTCTTTGCGGTAGAAGCTTATGCGAGCCGCTCTGGCAAAATTCAAATTATAGTCATATTTTAACTTTGTATGCTGAATTTCCTTTACCTAAGTCCACAAATGAGACTGCAAGCCATTCGTGCCCTCATTCCGCTGATAATCTTCGCAGCATCTGCACACTTCACGAACACTCGGGTAACCCTCCAAAAACCAACGAGGGAAACGCGACCAACTGAATGAAAATGAGAAAATGATTGAATAGTCAATTCATCTAACAATATAAAGTCTATTCTTAGAAACTTTACAGCTTTCCTCTTACAGCTTCTTTTTGTTGTTGCGTGTCAAAAATCCCTCACTCTTTATCAAAAGACGAATCTCTCCAAGCGCTAAATAAAGACAAGTCGTCTAATGTCCATAATTTCTCAAAGTGAGTACGGCAAATACGCCAATATCGATTCAGCCGGTGATCTAGAAATCGATTGCTCAAGTCATAAAACTTGTTGCTTAACCTCAAGTTGTTCTTCTTTTTGCTCAACAAGGAGGATCGCGGTTGTTTGATGCCTTTAAATGGATTAAACCAAATCTTTTCGTGTCATTCAATTAATCCCCATTTTTTCACATTTGTTTCTTCCAAACTCTTATCATGATATGCTTATTTTATAAAAGCTAAATCTTTGATGTTTAAATTGAGTAATTTGCTCTATTGTAAGGATTTCCAATTCCAGTTTCCTAACAGGGAAGTTTTTTCTGTGTTCTGGAAGTTTTTCTGTGTTAGGGAGAAAAACTCGGAAATGCTTTAGAGGCTTTCTGTCTTTCGAAGGGCTCTTGAGAAGCTGTGGTTTTTAAATGAATGGGAAAATGGCTACATAAATACTAAAAGATTTCATATAACTAGATTTCCATATAATACACGAAAAGAAAACGATGACTGACAAGCCGTGCACTCCGAATTTTACCCACTTTTAATGCAAGTTCAGGAAAAGCGACTGTTCTGGAGAATGGGATTTGATTCCTTGGAAATGCTAAGAAGATCTAAGAATTTGAGTTTTTCAAGAGCTGAAGCTACTTTCCCAAAAATGGAAATAATATAAAAAAAAAACAAAAATGGAAATGCAAGTATTCGATCCTTTCTCTGAAAATGAGAACAACAGTCTTCTAGGATACCAATATGCTGGTAATATCCTTAAAACATTGATAAGAACTTTGGATTCTTCAGGGCTAGAGACCTCACTAGTTCATTGAGATGCAAAGCAAAAACAATGACATTTTGCTTAGCTTAAAACAATACAAAAGCTGTTCTTTTGTTTTAAAACAGTAGATAGCTGGTTTTACTCCTCAAAAATGGTTAATAAAGTCTCTTTGAAACAAATCTTTTCTGAGATTTTAGAGATTATTAACTTTGAATATATAGCTTTAAAGAAGACACTTCAGGCTTTAAATGGTACAAAAGTAGTGTTTCTTTATTGAACGAAAAATCCAGAGAAAATGAGTGAGAGAGAGAGAGAGACAAAACTCTCAACTCAGCTCGGCATTGTTTTCGGAGTTTGATTGCTACTTAAGTGGCTTAACTGGGACAATGATTTGTGGTACCTACCAAATTTAACGCAATCTTCCCCCTCAAAAGAATTTTTAAGAATCTCTCAAAACCCTCTAGAAGATTTGAAGCCTCTAAACATTATGGTGAGTGGCTCAGGCAGAGAGAGAGAGAGAATTTGTTACGGAGTCCATGTTATCCGGGTGTAAGTGGTAGTTGAATGACTGGAGATTTGACGAGATGCGAATGCGCAGCCTTCGAAAGATTCACACACTTCTAGCGCCAGTTCTTCTTCTTCATCACTAATGGATTCTTAACCAAATCATCCGCCGGGTCTACAATCGCGAAATGATACTGGGAAAACCCCTCAAAAATGCCATCACACTTTAAAAAGAAAGAACAATTCTTTCTTAACAATAACTAGGTTAAGTACTGGAAAATTGCAAAAACAATCCAGAAAAAGCAGAACTGATATCATGATTTTAGAGAAACATAAAAATAAATTAATAATGGGAAATTGTATCCATAACAAGAGATTCATTTAGCATTTCACGAAGCTCGGCGAATACTTTTCGCAAATGGGCGCATCGACTCCTTTGCGGTAAGGAAGCCGGCTGGTGGGAGGATTTCAACCTCTTTCACTGCACAATCAGACATTCTCGCCGGCTGAAAAGTGACTGTTAACTCTTTTAGTTCAGGAATATCAACTGGATGTAGTGGCCGAATGAAAAAAATCGACAAGGTTAAGGTGAAAAGAACTGTTGTTGGATCTCGGACAGACGAACAAGGGTGGACTCGAACTAGAGCGCCTCTGCCTTGACTTTAACCCGATCATCACGCGGCCCGACACCCGACAAATGCTTCTTGAAACCCCCGGGAAATCTGCTTATAAACTCCGGGTTTGATTTCTCAATCTCATACTGTAAAACTTCGGCGAGCCCTAGCTGGGACAGAGTGCTTCATCGGAGAAACTGGTGGGCCGATTCGGAATCGGTGTTGAATTATGCATAGAATGGCCTATGGGTCATGTCATTTGGCTAGGTTCGCATTCAGTCAGCTACTATCAGTTCTATTCTATGGGATTCTTAGGACTCTATTGTCAGTTCACTTCATCGATAAATGGAATATGTTGATGCCATTGCGCTTAGGGATCAGGTCCATCAGCCGTTGGGAAATCGCCAACGAGTCGACCGGATTCGGATTCACCTAAATGGCACCAAGAATATTCCATAACTGGAGAATTATCGAATGGGATACACTGCTTACCGGATCGATCAAAAGGAAATGCCAAGATTGGTGCCGGGAAGGATTCGAATGAGACGCACTGGTAGAACAACTAAATTAGATGCATTATACCATAAACGTTTTAATGGTTTACCGTTATTCGTAATCTTTCAAGTCTCCAGATTTTCTGTGAGTTTTCAATGGAATGTGTAGTAAGGAGCGGGGATTCCGTTAGAGGTGAGTGTCTCGCAGACGTGACGTTGAAAGTCTGAAATGGAATTGATAATCAACTCGAATCTAAATGTTACAATAATGCTTACAATGATGATAGTTCGTATTCTGAAAAAAACGTTGTACAGTAATTTCAAGTGATTAGACTTAGAAAAAAGATAGTCTGAATTTAAGACCTTATAACTGGTACAAGAGCCAGTATGCTCAACTGGAAAGATTTGAGTGCAAGTAGGGCCATTCTTGTGGCCATCGAGAAGAACTAACTGTTATTTTGTTGTCATTTTCATTTACCTAATACTGGGTCAGTACTCGACCCCCCTCGTACAGTCGCGTAATCAAAAAAGTTTTTAGTATTTAACTCTTTCTAAAGCACCCGTACTTTCAAAAAGTGTGTAATTGGCATCAAAAACAGCTGTAATTCAGGGCTATTTTTTGATACCAAAGATAATGAAGGTGTGGAGTAGTTGGGTGCCCAGGGTGAACGAGCGACACTGAGCGATGTTACAATGCAAGCTTAGTAATGTGTCAAGGGGGGGCCCTGAATTTCAGCCATTTTTTGATACCTAAGCGCGCATTGTAGCATAAACCAGTGTCGAGAAAAATTGTCAAAGCTAGACTACGCAACACTCTGCACCGTCATTATGAGAGTGAGGTACTATTACAGTATTTACCGTATGAACAAAAAAACTTACCCAAATGCCCTGTATTCCTCGCAGCCACTGGATTCGTTATCTTGAAATTTAAAAAAACATTTTCAATGGGAAATCTTTCAATTCAACCTTGAAGATCACTGTCTCATCCTCGCTCATCCCATGATCCCAAACACATCGTGTCGCTCGAAAATTCATATCCTCATATCCATTCAAAACCTGGAACTCATATTGCTTTGATTACTTAAAACTTTACAATAAACTGAATGAGTTAAGCTGTTCAGAAAGTCTTTTTATTGCTTTTTGTACTTTCGTTTAAAACCAAAAAATGCACCAATTGAACTACGATTTATTTCATTAGAAAGGACAATCATTTTTCTACAAAATAACTAAAAACGGTTTTAAATGCTCCGGCGTCTGGGGGATTTTTGGGAGTGTAGTAGAGTCGGGTAGTGAAAAAGGGCGACTGCTTTAGACCCTTTAGCTAATGAAACCTATCTTTGTGCCAAAAAGTAAAAAATAGAGCACAAAAAAGTTAGTGTATAAGAAATGGGTCTCAGAGAAATTCATTCAGCCAGAGGTTTTTTCGATAGATTTCGGATAGATGACGAAAAGCATGTGCTTTCACTCGGGGATTTGCTTGAAGTGAAGCGAAAATTGACGTAAAAATATCGGAAATTCACCAATAAATACTTTTTATTTAGAGAAACCATAGGTTAATTGGTAATTTATTTGTTATTTGGTTTATATTTTGTTTTCAATGGAAGAAGTACAAAAAGAAACGAAAAAAAGACTCTCTGAAGAAGTTTCCACAATGAAGCATTAAGTTCTCAAACGATGTATTAAAGTCGATGTATGAAGAATGATTGTGAACAATCCAAATTGGTTCTAAAAATCATGGTACATCGCATAAACTGTACATTACCTGGACATCGCATAAACTGGACATACCTGGACATGGCAGGAACTTCGGACATACTTGTACATCGCAGGAACTCTACATACCTGTACATCGCATAAACTCTACATTACCCGTAGCTAGCATGAACTCTACATACCCGTACAACACAACGCATAAACTGTTACATACCTGTACATCGCATGAAATACTATCTACGCATTCTTGAGAATCCGTTTCACCTGAAAACCCTTTGTTCGAAATTGTTTTTTTTTCCAAAAACCTTTTCAATAGGAAACTGCGGTGCTTGAGTCACGGGTCTTGTGTGAACATTTTATTATTTTTAAATCTGAAATTGAAAAGAATAATCAAAAGTTATCGATGAAAATATCGATAAAAGAAAAGTGAACTTTCAGAAAAAAAAATTCGCACAAATGAGAGAATGTAAAAGGGAAGTTTTTACAAGAAGAGAGGGGGAAATGAGAAAGAAATGGGTCTGGAAGTAAGGAAAGAAGAAGGGAATTGGAAGTGGAGACTCCATTTTTGACTGACCACCTTGAGAAAAGCATTCAGTAGACAAGGTTCTTGTGAGGGCAAAAAAAGAGCCCTTTCAATTTTGTTTCTTCAGAATTTCTGAAACACTTCCTCGGTTGAATTTTAGCAAATCACTTTACTGGGTAATTTGATTTGAATAAGCCGAGAAAAAAATCTCATAAAAATTGATCCAAGGGGGATCGAACTGAGAGAGCTACTAAAAAAAATGCATCCGAGTTCTGGGAGACAGCGCCACTACCACTGGGTCATTGCTTTGGCAGAGCTCGAGTTACTGCTTTGGCAGAGCTCGAGTCACTGCTTTGGCGAGCACGCCAGTCCCAACAAACCGTAAGTCTAAGGGTAAAATTTCAAATGGCTTTACCTATTTCTTATGGTTCAAATGTTTTTATAGAAAGCTAGAGCGTTTAGGCAAAAACTAAAAACACCATCGCGTTGCCTGTGTCCAACTTGGGCAAGTCATATAGCTGGGATTCGGAGTCGCGCTTGCGAAATCTGGTCGCTTCGAGCAATCTGGTCGTTTCCTAGATACAGTAACTTGCGTAAGTCATATTTGAAATTGAGAATCAGCCGGGATTCTCAATGAAATTGAGATTCAAAATCCAAATCGGAAATGGAAATTTTCAAGTTCAGTGAATTGAGGCAAAACTCTGGACTTTAGGAACATTATGGAGAACGTTTCCGATTGAAAAAAAAGAGCTGTTTCCTTGTGGGGGAAACTTGGAGAAAGCTGTGTTAGTTTTATAAATTTGGGCAATCAAACCGAAGTATAAATGAGTATGAGAACAAAGTGAAAGACAATTTTTCCTAAATTTTCCAAACTTTTCTAAATATTTAAAAAAAAATTTCGCAACAGTTAGAAAAACCAGCTTGAGCAAAATGTCTCTTTATATTATTTCTTTTAGAAAATTTCACTTTTTCAATTTCAATAATCTTGTGCTACTTTTTGAGAGAGAAAACATTTTCAGGAAGTGATTCTGAGCCATTTCCCTCTTTTTATCACGTGCCATTCCTAAAAGCAGGAGCAAAAACGAATCAAAACAAAGCTATTCCCAAAAAAGTTTTCCTTGCAAAGTTGTATCTTTGGAATAGTGAGAAAAACAAATATTTTCCTAAAACGGAGATCCTTGGGGAAAGGATTGTGTTTTTTGGGGATCAACACAAGGTCGACGCGGGGCGAAAAGGATAGGAATCGACGAGTGAGTTGCGAAATGATAAGTCGCCCATTCCGTGGGCGACAAGGAAATCATTTCAGATCATTTCATTTGAGGTTTGTTCAAAATCTAGCGAATGAGGTCTAAAAATAAAAAAAAAAATGAGGATTACTTTAAAGAAGAGAATGAGATACGGAAAAGACTAAAATGAGCATTAACACTTTTAGGAGCTTTATTATTAGTACTAGTGTTCACTTTATTAATATCAACAGCAAATGGTAAAGCCTGTGTTCTTGTAGGGAGTACTGTAATGCGGAACTCACTAGGACTTAGTGTTGATTGAACACTCGAGTTTAGAGAACAAGCTTGAGTTGAATTTAATTTAGGCTAATAGGTTGGTTCTGAACATGCTAAAAGCATCAAATAGTACAAGTCAGCGAAAAATGTCGAACGGAATGCGATGGGTGATGGGAGGAGAAAAAGGAAGGGAGTGGGGAAGAGAGAAGAGAGCCAATGTGTGGTGGGGGACTCTGAAAGGGATGGAGGGACCGAGGAGGTGAATTGAGAGCTTCCAATGTCCGGCCGTTCACCCCTTCCCTTTCTATTCCCCCGATGGCCACCCTCGGGTCTCTCTGTCTCACACTATATCTGGGGCGATTGATTCCGAATTCCAAGCACTCATGTGTGGAGAGCCGAGATGGCGAAAGACGAAAAGAATGTGGCTGAGAATGCGAAAAGACGGATGATTAGTCGATCTTCGCGCATTATTCTCCGCCGTGCATCGGCGATAGAAATATAGAGCCGATAGAAGGATCATATGACTGATTTCATGTGAATGGGATCTTTGAAAAAGTATCTGAAATTACTTTAGCATTGAGTTATCAGATGTGAGCTGGGAATTGGGCTTGTTATGTCATTTATGAGCGAAAGAAGTTATCTTGCCGAAAGTCTTTCAAAAGACTTTCGCAACGTTACGATTTATCGGAGTCAAAGCAACATTTGGCGGGCTTTGGAGAGAAATCTACAAGTCAAAACATTGAGACCATTCGACGTTTCTTTTGAAAAGTGATGAAACGAATGGACATCTGGCCTATTGAGTGGAGATTCAGACACTTCTCCCGGCCGGAAAATGCTGTTGTGACTGTTTATGAAAGAGCCCAGGCCCGTAACCAGAAAATTTTTAAGGGAGAGGGAAGCTTTTTAAATTTAGTTTTTAATCTGGACTTAATGATGTTACATACGTTACATACGTTACATTCGAGCGGCAACGGAGGGCAGTTGCCCCCCCTGCCCACCCTCGGTACGGGCGCGAAAGAACAGATGCTTTTGACGAGCTTTTAGAAAAAATGAAATACAGATTTTTAAAGGAATGGGAAAAATTTGTAAAGATAAGCGACCAAAAACACTTTGAAAATGACCAAAAAAAAACCAGAAACTTTTTTTTTCAAAACCAAAAACTTTTGCAAACCCGAAAGCTAACTTGCAATTGCCAATGTAAAGCCTATCAATTGAAGTCTTTTACAAGTAGAGAACAATGGAGATTTCACTCAAAAATTAAACAATTAACGGAGAAAATGATATTGTGCAGCAGCGCAAATGATGGGAGCGAGGCGAAAACTGAACTTTTTGTCGTTTCTTGCTGAAAAAAGGAAAGAAAAGGTTCCCGGTTGATCAATTGGTGATATTTAGATATTCGGTTTTCAGAAACATCGAGAAAATTTTTGAAAAAACTTTATCTTTGAGACTTTTTCATCTGTGAGAGTAAAAATAAGCTCTTCTCGCGGACTCACTCGTGGGCGATCATTTGAAGGCTTCTAGACTGGCGCCTGAAACATTAACTAGCCCCCCACGTGAACGGAAAAAAGCAAATAGATCACCGATCTTTGGGAAACGCAAAGTGAAAAAAATTGAATCACCGCGGCAAAAATAGCGACTGATAAAATGCGCTAATTTTTTGAGACGAAATACTATAACGCTTGGCTGAATAGCTTGTAATTTGAAAAACACAATTAAAACCATTCAGCGATACTTTTCATTTTCAGGGGTAGGCTAATTTCCGCAACTTTTTTTTTGCGCAACTGGCCATAACTTTTTTCTAAGTGGACCAATCTTTATGATTTTGGTATCATTTTGTATATCTCAATAAGTGTAACAAAACATTAACTAGCCCCCCACGTGAACGGAAAAAAGCAAATAGATCACCGATCTTTGGGAAACGCGAAGTGAAAAAAATTGAATCACCGCGACAAAAATAGCGACTGATAAAATACGCTAATTTTTTGAGACGAAATACTATAACGCTTGGCTGAATAGCTTGTAATTTGAAAAACACAATTAAAACCATTCAGTGATACTTTTGATTTTCAGAGGTGGGCTAATTTCCGCAACTTTTTTTTTCCGCAACTCGCCATAACTTTTTCTAAGTGGGTCAATCTTTATGATTTTGCTTTTATTTTGTTGCACTTATTAAGATCTACAAAATGACATCAAAATCATAAAGATTGACCCACTTAGAAGTAAGTTCTGGCGAGTTGCGCAAAAGATCTAGTTGCGGAAATAAAATTGCGAAAATTACCCTACCCCCATTTTCATTTACACAAGTTACGAATGTCAAAGGCGTGCTAGACTTTTTGCACAATTAAAACGTTTTTAAACAAGCAATATGTGGCATCAAAGCTTAGTTTTCCTTGTGATTGATTTGTTTTCGCTTACCTCGCTTTATGGCTTTAATCTTTTTTAATTTAGATGAAAGCGCTGATCTTCGTGATTCTTCTGGCATCGCTTCCTTCCCGAACATGGGCTGACATCGACAAGGATGAAAAGGAGGTACCTTTTTATTCATACAGCGATCAAAAAAGTTTTGGCCGGCCAATGTTTTTTCATTTTCTTCCGTTAGATCGCATTCAAATAAATCGATCCCAATTAGTTTTTTTGTGAGAGCTTTAAGATGATAGATTTTTGATATGTCTCTCTAAATAGAATTTTTCAAGCTACTTTTGCATAAGAGGGTAAGGTCCTTCTTCTCAGGTTTTGTTTAAAGGTTTCAAAACTGCCAGTAGCCTTTCATTTTCACCAGAATCTAATGATCTATGGATCAAGTGAACACTGACCGGCCAAGACTTTTTTAACGACTGTATGCATTGGTCTGAGAGTTGTTGGTCATTCCAACAAAAATACATTGCTTTTATTCGGTTTATAAATCGTTGACATTTTTCTACGATTGTCAGTGAATAACTTTATTATCGTGTGTAAAAGCTATCAAAGGTGTCTCAAAATGCGTTTATCTTGTAAAATTTGGTAGTATATGGCTGCCAGTTGTGGTCTTAATTTATTTAAATGATTATTACCTTAAGATCTAGTCTTTTTGTCAAATTCCTTGCTTATAAATTGTACTTTAGATCGAGAAACGAGCCGTTCTTCTTTTCAGCAAAGAGACAACATGGAACTATCCATTGACGTTTGGGCAAGAAATACCGATTCACTACAAAATCTACAATACTGGAAATATCGAGGCGCGAGGGTAACGCTTTTGCTACTCTTGTTATGATTATTTATGGTTAGAGTCCACTTGGAGGAACAATGGGAGTCAGGTTTTGGAGAAATTCGCTCCGGAAGTCTTTCGGCTTTCTTCCCAGTGATTGCCCCAGGAGAAAATGTCACCCATACGGTAATTTACTAAAACTTATTGGGTTAAAATGTTTCTTTAGCTTGTTTTTGTTCCGAAGCCAAATGATACGTTGAAGGAGGAAACCATCAAGTTTTTCCGGAATACTTCGTTCATTGAATACGTCAGCGACCCGGAGAAGCCAGAAGATATACACCGTGTTTGGAGTTCGAACCATGCGAGTCGTTCTTGTAAGTAATTTTAAACTACTCAATAGTCTTTATTAGATTAAAAGTTTAACTATTTTGAGTTACTCTTTAAATATTACCTCCGCTGATATTCAGTACTTTCTGAGCAATAGTTTACCGTTTAGTGGGAACTCAAATGCTGTCTGAGCGTCAACTTGAATTGAGCCCTACGCGCAAAACGCAGACGTGGGTGCTCTTCACCCTGTGGGTGACCGTCCTCAGCGCTTTTCCGTTCTACCTCTTCTGGAAAAACCAAAAACGGTATCAATAACTTTAACTTTTATGCTTATTTCTGTATTTAAATTTGTTGTGGGAAATCTTTGATCTGTTTTCTTGGGCATTTTTTGTTTATAAGGAGAGCTCTTGTAAATGTTTAGTGTCAATAAAAGCGTTTTGCAAAGTTTGTAGGAAATAAATGCTTAGTGGTGTTAAACAGCTAGTGGCTTTTTAGCCATTTTTGTCGCCACGGGCAGAAAAGCGAAAGCGAGGTTAGTGTCATTCATCGATCACAGCCCACTCACGAAACTATAGCTAATGAATTCACTGGCAACTATTTTGCGTATTATCAATTTAGCTACAATATTCTTGGGTTGGTCTAGAAAATATATTTAATCTAAAATCCATTCAAGTTGCTAGCTCGTTAACTGTTCAAGAATGGTACAAAAAAGAGCTTGGTCTACATGATCATCGAATTGTTCGGCATAGGGCTTTTGAGACAACGACGGCAGCTGTTGTTCAATTACCGAGGTAATTAAAATAATAGGAAATCACTTTGACAAGAACTTGTCAGATTTGAAACTCATCGTGAACTTTTTCATGATGACGATCGGATTCCCTATCAACTTGGCTATGAGCATCCCAATCCGTGGGTCGAAAAGGTTAAAAATGGCATCAACAAAGCATAACCAGCTTTACTATTAGATCTTTAACAAGTATGCAGCAAAAGTGCCCGAACCTGGAACAAATGCATTGGATATTGGTCGCCACAAATATACGCCAAAAGCACGTCCGTATTAATGTTTGCAGCCATATTAAAACCCATTTATTTACAATCAATTTGTCTCGCTCATATCAATTTTAATTTCCTTTGCCGGCAATGGCTTTTCCATCACTGGAGCCACTTTACTATCGTTGATGTGTTTAGGTCCCGTGGCGCAAAGACTTTGAATAAATTGGCAGAACTAAATGATTTGTTAAAATCTTTGCAATGAAACTTTACCAATGAAAGCATGTATCCCAATAAAACAATGGTGAGAATGATGATGCAGAAATCGACAATGGAAAGCGTTTTCGAGAAATGGATGAATCTGGTATTAGGGAGATTTTTTGGCTATCCACCTTCAACTTACCGGTGTTTGTACTCGAAATCGGCCATGTTTGTAGACTCTGAAAATTTGATTCCATTGAAATTCCAATGGGGAAACTCACCGGCATTGATCGGCTCCAAATCATGTTCCATTTCGATGCTCATTTCCTCTGATTTATCGTGTTTCTATAGCTTTTAGATCTTGTATCTTTTTGTCAAATTACCTTTTCTGCCGATTTTCGTGATTCTTTCGCCGCACTTTCTCTGGAATCCGGAATGGAACCCGCGAAACGGGGTGCTTGAATTTGTTTCTGATGAGCCTGAAAGATTTTGCTTTACTTGGTCGAATCTTGGTTGAAGCTTTATCTAAAAGATATCGTACCCCTATCGTTGAAAAAGACAACCGTAGTCTTACAACGGAGAGAAAAGGCTACCGTACTCCGAACCTGGAGACAAGCTATCGTAGTATCGTAGACTTACCGTGGAGAAAAAGCTACCGTAATCCTAGAAGGGCTACCGTAATCCTAGAAGGGTTACCGTAATCCTAGAAGGGCTACCATATTCCTACCCTTTCATCTACCCTGTAAACAAGCCTCAAATATTCAAAAACCCGTACTAAACAGTTTAAACAATACTAAACGTACTCAAAAATAAGGTACATACGTGAATTTCGGCTCTTTTCAGCTCTTCCGAAGAACTGACATCCCTTTCAGCCTTTTCGGTGGAATGCTCGATCGATCGAGGACCCTAAAAAGTTTTGAGATCATTTTGTATCATTCAGATTACCTGAATCTGTGTAAGATCTGGCTGTATGATCACTAAACCTTGATCGGCCAATGGAGGCATGTCAAGGGTTTTTGGCACCTAAAAAGAGCTATTCACTGTTTGACAAAAAAAACCAAACCTGATTCACTTCAATTTTTCCAATGTTCACCGTTTCGTGAACGATGACGAGACTTTGTTGTTTTGCTGGCTTTGCCGCTCCAAGGATCATCGCTTGATTGATGGCATCTCTGTCGAGTTCGATCTCCGGATCGTACGGCAGGAACCAGTATCTGATTTTGGAGATTTGTGCAAGTGCTAAGTAAACGATTGGAGTAATGTATTTGATCTTTGACATCTTATCTTTGACAACACGAGCGGAAAACCCGTTTACAATTTTCGTGGTTTGAGAACAGTCAATCCAAGTTGGGCCTTTTTACTTAAGTCAGGCCTTTTTACTTACTTAAGTTAAGGCAAGTCAATCCAAGTTGGACCTTTTTGCTTCAAAAGGTTATTTCTATTATACTTGAGCTTTTGGTAAAAAGCTGTGTCCGACCGGAGCCAGATTCGAACCCTTGACCTCTGGTACGAGAGCGCTAACCAATCGGCTATTGGGCACTGTGGCGAGGGAGCGACATTTCAAGATTATATACCGGTTAGACTATTGTTTTGTTATTAAACTCACTCATCATCCTCTGGATATTCATCATAATAATCATCATCTTCATCGGAAATCGACGAATCATCAAAACTCTCATCATTAAACTTGTTTTTCTTATCGTTCTTCATCTTCCACGGCTTTGGGAGCTAAATTTGCAGCTAAACTTGGCTCGTGAGTGGTCATAAAGTGGTACCTGGGGCACTGAGCTTATCATTTTCGAGTTAAAAACTAGCAGCGCTTAGCAGATAAAGGAAACCAGTGCACCAGACGTCGAAAGTTTACAGTTTACAGAGAGATCGCTTCTCTTTTCACTAATCACCTCAAAATCTCCCTCATCCGACCACAACGATCGATCATTTCCCTCTTCGCGACTTTCCTCAACTTGCACTCTCTTCAAATTCTCATCATCTGTCAAATCTTTCTCAAGTGAGTTCAAGAAATGCTCAACGGTGTCCTCATCGTCGCTTTTCTCATAGTTTTGATTGTCTAAAGTCAGATTAGTTGGAAGTGGGACAAATGCGACCTTTTTTTTGCGCACCCGGACATTTGCGCACTTTTTTCTCCGCACTTAGCCCATTAGCGCACCTTTTTTCACGTTTTAAAAAAGCTCTAAAAAGCTAATATTAACCAATTTCTATTCCAAAAGTTGTTTTTCTAGGCAATTTTAGGGCGTAGAATCGAAATTTTGACATATCAGAGCTTGTGGAAACAAACGGACCGAGTTATACAAAGAGAAAGATCGGCAATTTGTAATTTTCTGTAATTTGATCTAGCCGTTTTGTCTTTCAAATTGGTTCCACACGCTCTGATATGTCAAAATTTCGACACTACGCCCTAAAATTACCTAGAAAAACAACTTTTGGAATAGAAATTGGTTAATATTAGCTTTTTAGAGCTTTTTTAAAACGCGAAAAAAGGTGCGCTGGCAAGGTGCTGGCAAGGTGCGGAAAAAAAGGTGCGCAAATGTCCGGGTGCGCAAAAAAAAGGTCGCATTTGTCCCACTCCCGATTAGTGACTTAAAAGTACTGTAAAGTCCTCACCAATTTTCTTCAAGCCGTTTTCTTGAATCGCTTTCTGCACAATGTCACCGAGAATATCGGTCTAGAAAAAGAATTTCTTGAAATATATTATTTTTCATCACCTTAAGCGGATTTTGTATAGTTGGGGAGATATGATTGAGCTTTCCCGGAGACAAATCTTTTTGCTCAATCGATCCAAGATTAGCTTCAAATTCAGCTTTTGCGCGTTCTTGCTCAAAAACATTGTCTGAAAAGCGACTTTTTTTTTCTTCAAGTTTTCAACAACTCAATATAGACTTTTTGGCTTTGTTTCAATATATTCATATATTTCACTTTGATCATTTTTGACAAATGAGTCAGTTTTTGACAACTTTTGAAGTGGCAAGTTCTAGAGAAATAATATGCCTTTCTGATAGGGAGAACCGCAAGTCGAATGGCTGGATATGAATATATTCATATCCAGCCATATTCATATACCGTATTCTCTCTAATAGTAGTGCGCACTACTATTTTTTCAACCCCCTCCTGGACCGCAATACTATTAGAGAGTGCACTACTATTAAAGAGTTTTATCGTTTACCAAAGTAAGACAGATATAAGATTTGTTCCAAAAATTCTTGCAATTCTTTCACGTACTCCTTTGGCTTCTTTTGACATACAGTTGTGGGCCGGCGAGTTGACAATTTGTGCCTTGACAAACAACAAAAAGATGTTTTTGCACTTTGCACAACAATTTTAGATTTTTTGCTAACTTTTTCATGTGAAGAAAAGTTAATAAATGAATAAAAAAAGCCTCACTTTTACTTGCTTGAATAGCTTTAATTCTATCCTTTAATTCTTTAATTCTATTCAAGCTTGAATAGCTTGAATAGAATGTACATAAAGTCGAATGTCACATAAACAAAGTCAAAAAGGTTTAGATGAAAAAGAAGCACCAGAAATTCAAATTTTCGAGGGTGCACTACTATTTTTTCAACCCCCTCTCGGACCGCAATACTATTAGAGAGTGCACTACTATTAAAGAGTGCACTACTATTAGAGAGAATACGGTATTCATATCCAGCCATTCGACTTGCGGTTCTCTCTATCAGAAAAGCATATTATTTCTCTAAAACTTGTCACTTCAAAAGTTGTCAAAAGCTGACTCATTTGTCAAAAATGATCAAAGTCAAAGCTGTAATTGCGAAGAGCTAGCTTTTGTGGTTACGATAAACACTATCGTAGCTTGATAGATTTTCCATCATCATAAATCAAAAATCAAAAACAAAATACTAAAAATCAAAACAAAATACCAAAATTTAACATTTTCTTCAGCTGTTCTACTTTTTGTACTCAAAGATTACTGAAAGAAAACTCAAAAATGACAAATTACTGAAAGAAAACTCAAAAATGACAAATTACTCAAAGAAAAACAAATTCTAACTTTAAATCTTTGACTTTGAACAAACATAACAGACTTTGAAAATTGAATATTTTCGAGTTTTAAAGTTGTCTTGTCTATACCGTAAACCTGTCTATACCGTAATCTTGTCTATACCGTAATCCTGTCTATACCGTAATCCTGTCTATACCGTAATCTTGTCTATACTGTAAACTTGTCTATACCGTAACCTTGTCTATACCGTAAACTTGTCTATACCGTAAACTTGTCTCAGTTTTATTCTAGTTAAGATTAGCGGTAGAATGCTTTAGAAAATGCTTTAGAAAATGCTTTAGATAATTTAAGCAAACCTTTCGTTGAGAAACCCTGTGAAACAAAGCCAAATATTAGAAAATATGCTAGAAACTTCATTGTTGAATGCAAAAACAGAAAATGACTCTCCGAGATGAAATGTTTTCGAGAAGTGACAACAGTTCACTAAACGGTTTCAAATTTTTGCCACCGTAAACCGAAAATGGAAAGGGGATCGGTCTCGAATCGGTTTTCCCTTCCCCTTTTTTTCCATCAACCCCATTATCCGGGGATTTCCCCCTCGTCGTTTTATTTTTCATTTTTAAACCTTTTCCAAACAAGATCCCCATCGGTACTTTAACGATTCGAAAGTTTTCGTTCAAGTATATATTTTGAGAATTATGGCTGTTTTGGTGATTCGAGAGAAATAAGATAATAAGAATAGAAAATAAGGAAACTTAGTAAGCAAACTTGAATAAGCAAACTTGAATAAGCTAACTTTAATAAGCTAACTTGAATAAGCAAACTTGAATAAGCAAACTTGAATAAGCAAACTTGAGTAAGCTAACTTGAATAAGCAAACTTGAATAAGCAAACTTGAATAAGCAAACTTGAGTAAGCTAACTTGAGTAAGCAAACTTGAATAAGTTAACTTGAATAAGCAAACTTTAATAAGCAAACTTTAACAAGCAAACTTGAATAAGCAAACTTGAATAAGCAAACTTGAGTAAGCAAACTTGAGTAAGCAAACTTGAATAAGTTAACTTGAATAAGTTAACTTGAATAAGCAAACTTGAATAAGCAAACTTTAATAAGCAAACTTTAACAAGCAAACTTGAATAAGCAAACTTGAATAAGCAAACTTGAGTAAGCAAACTTGAGTAAGCAAACTTGAATAAGTTAACTTGAATAAGTTAACTTGAATAAGCAAACTTGAATAAGCAAACTTGAGTAAGCAAACTTTAAAAAGCAAACTTAATTAAGCAAACTTTAATAAATAAGCTTGATAAGCTAACTTTAACAAGCTAATTTGAAGAAGCAAACCTTAACAAGCAAACTTTAACAATCAAACTTTTTCAGTATCAAGATTTAATTGTGAACTCTTTGAAAGATGATTGGCACTTTTTAGATTAAGTTAAAGTTCAAAATAATGTAAAGTCCCTTGTCTCATTACATTTTGCTAGAATGTGACAGTATTTTTTGGTTTTAGAATCACACGAGTAGCACGCTTTCTAAAACGTGTCAAAACTATCGTAAACTTGAAATCTCAAAGAAGCAAAGAGAAGTCTAATCCTGATATAAATTGAAGCCGATTTAGAAACAGACTCTTCGCATCCGATGAGGTGTCTTTGTCAAGAAATGTCAAGAAACGTCAATATCTTTGTCAAGAAATGTCAAGAAATGTCAATATCTTTGTCAAGAAATGTCTTTCCAAGAGAAAACACAATTCGTTCAACTTTTTAAAGCTTTCAATACCCTATAAAGATTTATTTAATAGCTCTAAGAAAAAAACAAAAACCAGATATTATCACAGATTTGAAAACCGAAGAAAAAAATAATAACCGAAAAGGAATGCGAATGAGATTTGAAAAGGCTTGAGATCGATGAAGAAACCCAAGAAAGAAAACCCAAAAAATTCTTTCAAATGTCAAAATCGAAAAGAAAACATTTTGAAGTTTATTCAGTAGAATGATATTTGTAGATTAGGGTACTTTGTGAATGGGGAAGGGATCAATGGGGACTACCAGAGCTCGTAGACAGTCGAGATTGGGAAGAAGTTGCGCTTTGTTTGAGTGCCTGAAATGTTTTTCATAATATTGTGATAGAGATTATTTAAATTATCTCTATTAGGAGGATTTAAATTAAGTCTGCAAGTCAATGAGGCCAGCTCAGGTCTGATTTGGTTCCAGAAAAGCCTCGAGGCTTTAGATCAATCAGTCTTGGATCAATCAGTAGCTTGGATCAATCAGTCTTAGATCAATCAGTCTTGGATCAATCAGTCTTGGATCAATCAGTAGCTTGGATCAATCAGTCTTAGATCAACTCAAGACAGACTACTTCTTTGGTTCTCTCAAAGAATTGTAAAGATAATCGGCTAAATACAGTAGCCTCGAGGCTTTTCTTAGATCAATCAGTCTTAGATCAATTCAAGACAGACTACTTCTTTGCTTCTCTCAAAGAATTGTAAAGATAATCAGCTGAATACAGTAGTTTTCTCTGCTCTCTTACTTGCTCCTAAATTGTGCATATCGAGAACATCCTCAAAGGGCATATCCATCATTGGTTGTCGCATTATCAAACGTCGTTTCATTCGTCGAGACATCAATGGAGTGGATTCACTGAAATGATTCAAATTCTACACAACATTTCTTTCTTAATCTCTCTATTCTTTCATTTACTTATCCTACAGAATTTTGAGTTTTAAAAAAAAATTAGATCATTTGACTCACCTTTGAGGAATGAGAACGAAAAATAAAACAACGATGAGAATCATTTGTAACACTTTCATTTCTTGAGACTGATTTTAGAGTTTCTGAAAAGTAAACATTTGAATTATTAGATAAGTGACTGAATAGCAATGAAAAAGGGGTAGAGTAGTTCAATTTTCAAATCGTACTTTGTGCTTGAACAATCACAAAACCCTGGCGCACTTAATTTCCTAATTTCCTTATTTTTCTTAAATGACTGAATAAAATGAAGATTTTCAACGTTTTTGAGCACAAATTACGGGTCAGACTGCAAGATTATTGTAATCAAAGGTACAATGAAAAACTTGAAAATGAAATGTACAATGAGAAAAGATGGCAAGATTACTGTGATCAAGGGTACAATGAAAAACTTGAAAATGAGATGAACGTTTCATTGAAATGATTGAGCAAGGTGAAAACCGATTTTAATTTAAGATGGAAAAAAGTGGAAAAAATGGAGTCGTTTTAAAGAAAATTTACCGTGAACCAGGTGTTATTAAAATGTCTTTTTTTTTGGTTTCCTTTAGAGTTGAACCTGAACAGATAAAAATCAAAATTCAAATGGGCGTATGACGTACAAGATTTCCATGCGCTTATTTTTTGTGTTGAAACATCAAAACCCCATTCTTTTCAACGAATCGGATCTATAATTATTGCACAAAGCCAGACGCTGTAATAAAGAAATAATAAAGAAATAAAGAGTTAAGAACATTATGATGTGTTTAAACTTTTGAGAACAAAGTACGAATTATTATAAGCGAACGAGTCTATTGTCTTTTTTTCTTTCTTTTGTCTTTCGAATCTTTTACAAAGAGTAACTACAATAGCTTTATCTTTATAAAAGAAAAATTATTCTAATTTGGTCCTTGCCAATCTTTTACCACACATTTTTAAATGTAAATTGATGTTTAATGCAAAATGGGCGAGGTGAGGTGACGGTAATTGAAGAAGTTGACATGTTTTAGAAAATGACTTCTTTGAGATAGTTGATTGATTGGATTTATGAAATAGCTTTTATTATATTAGGTGTGTGAAAAAGTAATCCACTTTTTTAACGTTTAAATATAAAAGACCATAAGTTTCGTTAAACCAAGGGGAGTTGAACCCTCGACTTCACCCTTCCCTGGCCGTTTAGCAGCCCTAACACTGAGCTATGGGCTCCTGCTTGGGTGATGAAGAAATAGGAAAGACAAGGAAGAAAGAGAGAAAAACCCGCTCTACTGAAGAATCAGATCACGAGCATCAGTAAATTAAATGCAAATTGATTTTCAATGCAAAGTAAGCGGGGTAAGAGTCACAAGTCTAACAAGTCGACACAAGTCTGTGTCGAGTGATACTCAGTTGGTTAACTGAATAACTTTAGAGGCCCATTTTGAGTGCTTTTTTTATCTATGAAATATTAACTTTTTTTAAAAAACTGTTTCACCCATCATGTAGCCAAGAAGGCAAGGAATTTTTTGATATAAAACATGAATCGGCTTGGTTTTTTGGATTTTGAGAAATTTGACGGCGCTGTTTTGAACGTTTTCTATTATGGCGCTGTTTTGAACGTTTTCTATTATGGCGCTGTTTTGAACGTTTTCTATTATGGCGCTGTTTTGAACGTTTTCTATTATGGCGCTGTTTTGACTATCCCCCTAATTTTAATTCTAGTTCTACCTTCAGTGCACTTTACGAAACATTCCATAAATTCCTCTCAAATAACGCGTTTTCTAATGGTAATGGTAAAGAAATGAATGGTAAAGAATTGAAATTGAATAGCAATATGTTTGCAAAAAGTTGGGGAAAGCAATAAAATGAAAGCTTGAACTTGAAAAGAAAAATCAGCGAAAATGCGATTTTCCCATGCTGTGACGTTGAATTGAAGAGAGTTGAGGGGATGATTATCGTGAAAACATTTCCGATGCATCAAAACACATCCCGTTCTTTCTCTTTTCACTTCTTTTCTTTCTGATTCACCACTTAATCCATTCGTTTATCTGATTCGAGAAAGAGAAAGGAAATCCGCAAAAAATTCATGCAAAATTTGACTAGATTTTGGTCTAATTTTGAGAAAAATTGAGTAAATAAGCCAAAGAGAGCTGAAATTTTTTTCTCAAATCAAGAAGATTGCTGGAATTTGCTGGAATTTGCTGGTTCAATTTTCTCAGAATTTTCCTGATCGAATCTAAGCTCTACATTATCAGTAGAAAGATAGAAATGTTCTCGATGCAAGGGAAAAGGCTTCACTAGATTTTGGTCTAATTTTTAGAGAAATTGAGTAAATAAGCCAAAGAAAAGTGAAGAAAAGCATTTGAAATCGTTTTGATTTTCTGAAATTAAAAAATAAGATAATTAAAAGTAAACTTAACTAGAATCAACTAAGCTTAACTAAAAAGCTTAACTAAAGTAATTTTTTATAGTAAACTTTGTATAATATTGGATTGGTGAATTGAAAACTGCCGACTGCGTGGGTTAGTCGTGGGTTCGGCTCCCATGGGTTCCCCTCCGAGCGCCCCAGCCCGGCCATCGGAGTATCATCGGCTACGACAACTACACTTCTGCCTCAGTAAATGTGGAAGCAGGTTGTGATCTGCGCTAAGTGCGAAGACAGATCAAATCATTATTATTATTTTATTATTAAAACTGCCGACTATTGTCATATGTGACAGTTTGAGCACTTTCTTCAAAAGAAACCCATTTTGGTGTCAATGGAAAAGTTGTAGAGAATCAAAAATCAAGCTTATATCCAAATTTTCAGAACGATTCAAAGACTGGTTTTCAAGGAATGTCAAATTTTTACGAATTTTCACAAAACTTGCATTTTAAGCGAAACTACTAAGTGTTTCTTTTTGAAAATTTGGCTATAAGTCTAATTTTTGATTCTCTACAACTCTTCTATTGACACCAAAATGGGTTTCTTTTGAGAGAAAGTGAAGAAAGTGCTCAAACTGGGACATCTCCAGTCCTCCATTTTTGAGTCTCACACTTGTCTCAAACACAAACCAAAATCCTACTACAAAAGAGGAATCCGCAAATTGCCTGTAAAATGGGCAGAAGTCGTCAATAATAATGGAAATTATTTGGAATGAATTGATGGTTTTATGTTGAATAAATTTTAGTTTAAAGTCCGGCAGTTTTCAATTCACCAACCCAATAATAATAATCAATTATAAAAAGTTTAACTAAAGTAATTTGTTATAGTAAAATTTGTATAATATTTTTATTTAATGAAAATAATAGTTTAGCCATAGTAAATGATTCCATTTTTCAAGTAAAAGAGAAGAAAAAGATGAAATTTGCGTGTTCGTATTTGGGGAAAAGGTTGAACAATTCTAGATTTCGATTCTTCAATCAAAGGCCATACTTTAAAGTTTAAAATAGAAATATTAGCTGAGCTTCTTGAGCTGAGATTTTCTTTCTCAAATCAAGAAGATTGCTGGAATTTGCTGATTCAATTTTCTCAGAATTTCCTAATCGAAAACATGACAAACACAATTAAACATCCCCCTCGAGCAATACATAGAAAGATTAATTTCCATCAAACAAAGCTACAATGGTATGAAAAGCTACAATGGTAATCAAGGCCCCAAGCCCACTCTACACTCTAACAAAATACTTTACAACCTTCAATAGAAAGATAGAAATGCCCTCGATGCAAGGGGAAATGCAAGGGCAATGCTTCAGCTCGAGAACCAAAACTACTCAAAGCTATAAAATATGCCCACTTTGAGGGTAATCGCTTGAATTTATACGGAAAGATTCGACTACAGATTTTGTTATTTCGTGAGAAACACAACCAACCTTTCTACAAAAAGATTCACCTCTTTTGTCCGCGAAAATTTCAATTTTTTTTTTGACTCTTAAAGGGTGAGAGGATTAGTAAAAAGGTAGAATTTTTTTCCTTTTCCCTTCCACGCAATTTCGTTTCATAATTCCACAATAGAAATATTCATATGTCAGCCTTTTTTCCCCTCGTCCAAACATCTTTTCCCATTTACATCATCGTAGCTTTTTTTTAGATTAATTTGAGGGAAAAAAAAGGTTGAAAGATAGCATCATTTCTCAGGTTGATTCAATTCATTTCAGAATAGGGTGAGGGGAATTATTCATGCAATGATTCAACGGAAACTCCCCACCTCTATGCTGGGTTTATGAAATTCATGTATAATACTATTGACGAGGGAGCTAGAACTGAAGTTTAGAAAGACATTTTTGATAAATGTCTTGATGACAGGACAAGACAAGACAAGACAAGACAAAGACAAGACAAGACAAAGACAAGACAAGACAAAGACAAGACAAGCCAAGACAAGACAAGACAAGACAAGACAAGAGAAGACAAGACAAGACAAGACAAGACAAGAGAAGACAAGAGAAGACAAGCCAAGACAAGACAAGACAAGACAAGACAAGACAAGACAAGACAAGACAAGACAAGACAAGACAAGCCAAGACAAGATAAAGACAAGACAATCAAACATTTATCGCTGAAGATTGAGGATAAAAAGTGAAGTAATTAATAAATAAAGCAGTAACAACTTTCACAAAAAGGATATAGAATAAACGCTCTAGGATAAAAAAAAATTAAAAGAAAAAGAAAAAGAAAAAGATGGAATTGAACCCAGGCAAATAAATGAAGAAATCGTTTCGTATAGAAGCCCTCTGTCTTAGCCGATTATGAATGAGTGGGTCCAACCATCAAGTATTTGGTATCATTCAACGCAGAATCACTAATAATTATGTTAAATTTTTTAAATTAGAAAGATTGGATAAAAAGGAAAAAAATTATGGGGCTTCAAAGTTTTCTCTTGAGCAAACAGTTTTTTTGCTCTAATTTTTTTTTCTTTTTATCAAATCTTGCTAATTTAAAAAATTTAACATAATTATCAATGATTCTGTGTTGAATGATACTAAATACTTGATGGTTGGACGCTCCTAGACCCACTCATTCATAATCAGCAAGATTGAGGATAAAAAGTGAAGTAAGAAAAAAAACATTAAAATAAAAAGAAAAAGAAAAAGATGGAATTGAACCCAAGCAAATAAATGAAGAAATCTTTTCGTATTGAAGCCTTCTACCCACTGCACCGCCATTTAGCATTTAGCACCACATTTGGCCGGCGCTGAAGAAGCCTTATGAGGAAATCCAATTTCGGCCAAGAAAATTTCATTTTTGACTACAAATTTGAAATGTTTATAACTTTTGATAGAGAGCCATTTTGCAAAAATAGATTCGGAATCGGCGTGAAATTCTGTATCGAATGGTCTAGGTCTTGGTCCAATCACCCTAACTTGGTGCACTTCCCATGTGAGTAAATAATGGACCCTATAAACTACAAAAATGACGAACTATCACACAACACACGCTTGAAGCTTGAACGAACGCGAGAGCTTGAGCTTGAACGCTTGAACGAACTTTGAAGCAACAACACGTTGCTTCAAATCTCCCAGATTGACATGATCTATAGCTCAAAAAATAGAGAATCTCAAGAGCTTTCGAATGAATTAAGGTATATGGAGAAATATAAATTCTAAAGAAAGTTACAGTGGCTTGTAGCCTGACTCGAGCGCTTCGACTACGCGCGAGTACAGTCAGTCAGTCAGTTTCGAATCATGACTACAAACCACTGTAACTTTCTTTCACATTGATATTTTTAAGTGTGCTTTAGTTCATTCGAAAGCTCTTGTGATTCTCTATTTTTTAAGCTATAGATCATGTCAATCTGGCAGATTTGAAGAAAGTTAAAAGCAATAGTTTACGTTTGTAGTGTGTAGTTTGTAGTGTCCATGGGTTTGAATAAAAAAAAATTGGTTTTACAGTATGATTTTAATATAGAAGGGAATTCTCAAGCTTCTCGACTTTCACAGAAGTGATCGGCGATCATTCTGTGAGCCATACAACTCAAAATCATGAACACAAAATTATTTGTTGTAATACTTTCTATTGAATGTCTTATTTTCATTTTTAAAAGTAAATCTTTTAAGAAATAGAAAGATCTAGATGAAAAGAAAGAAATATAAAAGGAATTCTCGAGCTCAAGCATCTTGCCAGCATCCTATGCTGGCAAGATCTTGATCAGAAAAATTGAATTTTATTTTTAGAAGTTAGGAAACTTCTATTCGGTTTGGCCAATAGGTAATGAGGCCAATGAGTCACGCAAAAGAAAGGAAATTGTTTTTTTGCCGTAAAGTTAACCCTCAGTGTTTACCACTAAAAGAGACAACAGAGTTCCCTTATTTCAAAACACTTTCATTGATTGAGCATTCTTTCTTTATTAACTACTTCTTTTTTCGATTAGTGTAAATTCGCCAAATGGGCATATTGCTATGCTAAATGCTCATCTTCAAGCCTAGCTCTAAACCACATAAGAAAAGTATATGGTGATGACTGATTTCATTTCGATCAAAGATTTGTCTTCATTCTTGTCTTGGGACTACATGTGATCGATGGTTTCACAAGTTTAATAATGAAGATAAATCTTTGATCGAAATGAAATCGAAATCGTGATCGAAAGCGACCGCTCCGGGAGATCGGTGGAGGTTATTGGGAGCTATTGGATACTGGAAGCTGTTGGATACTGAAAGTTATTGGATACTGAAAGTTATTGGATACTGGAAGCTATAGGCTAGCAAGGCAACACTTAACTCTCAACTATGCAGTAATCAATTGCAGAATCTGGCGAAAGCTCTTGAGATCAAAAGAGAAAATCTGAAATTGCAGCATGACAATGCTCAGCAACACACTGACCAGCTCTACAACCAAGAACCTAAACTGGGAGCTTCTCCCGCACTTCTCCAGATATTTCTAGATTCTCTAGACTACTATTTATATCGATCAATAGAAAATACCCTAATCGGATAGCACTTTGAAGATGAACAAGATACAAAAAATGGGCACTAGTTTGACATAAAAACAAAGATTTTCGCCCGATCAAAGATTCAAAGAGAGGAATTTGCCTTCTACCAGTAAAATGGACAAGATTATTGAAAAAAAGATGGAGACTATTTTGATTGTTTTAGATGGCTTTATTGAATAAATATTTCTGTTTGAAATTGAAATTGAAATTGACTCTGATACTTTGATAGATTTCCACACAAGATTCCTTCAAGTTCTTAAAGTTCTTAAAGTTCTTCAAGTTCTTCAAGTTCGAAATGCAATTCTTGTTTCAACAAAGGTTAATTTCTTTCGATTTTCTCAAAAAGTTAAAAATCTATTACTTATTGGTCAATCCAATAGAAGCCTGTACCTTACGATGAGCCAAAAAAAAATAACTGCAACCGCTAAACCCTCTTTATCGATAGTTCTAGGTTCAGGCTCAAGATTTGAACAAGATTCAATATACAATATATTCAATATTCAATATATACCGTATTCTCTCTAATAGTAGTGCGCACTACTATTTTTTCAATCCTCCCCTGGACCGCAATACTATGAAAGAGTGCACTACTATTAGAGAGTGCACTACTATTAAAGAGTTTCATCATTTACCAAAGTAAGACAGATATAAGATTTGTTCCAAAAATTCTTGCAATTCTTTCACGTACTCCTTTGGCTCCTTTTGACATACAGTTGTGGGCCGGCGAGTTGACAATTTGTGCCTTGACAAACAACAAAAAGATGTTTTTGCACTTTGCGCAACAATTTTAGATTTTTTGCTAACTTTTTCATGTGAAGAATAGTTAATAAATCAATAAAAAAAAGCCTGACTTTTGCTTGCTTGGATAGCTTTAGAATGTCACATAAACATAAAGTCAAAAAGATTTAGATGAAAAAGAAGCACCAGAAATTCAAATTTGTGCACTACTATTTTTTCAAACCCCTCTCGGACCGCAATACTATTAGAGAGTGCACTACTATTAGAGAGAATACGGTATATTCAATAATTCAATATTTTCGTCACAACTACTCATACTCACTCTGGAGGGTGTAGCTCAGTCAACAGATAACTGATTCCCACAAAAATTTTATAGATAAATGTTGAGTGGGTCTCCTGTAGCGGTGCCCATTATCTAACCGATAGGAGCTCATAAATTTCTAAAACAAGCTCTCAAAGTTGAGAGTCGCACTTAGCCTGACGCGCAACCTAGTTTTCTAGTTGTACAATGCTGTTGACAAAAGATTCGGAAACTAGATACTTTGATAGATTTGCACGCAAGATTCCTTCAAGTTCTTCAAGTTTTTCAAGTTCAAAAAGCAATTCTTGTTTCAACAAAAGTAAATTTCTTTTGATTTTCTCAAAAAGTTTAAAACCTATAAATAAAAAAAAGAAAAATTTCTCATTGATCGTTTTTTTTGTCAAACGTTCCACCTCGTTTATCATCCTTTTTCTGGTTAACCATGTCTGGGATAGGGATCAATTCGAGTAAAATTGATCACAAATTTCTTAATAACTTACCTAAAATGCTTTATATTTTCTATTTTCTGTTTTTATTTCTATTTCTAATCTCCGAAAGCGATGGCGCAACGCAGCCGATTTGGATGCTTCCCACTCGGAAAGTGCCCCTCGTCAGGCAGCCTGTGAGAGAATATTCTAAGATTTATTTCAATTATTTATTTCAATTATTTATTTCAACAATATTTACCTCTAAATTTGCATATCTATTTCAAAAACTTTAAAAATTCTTGCAAAAAATGATACCATTTTCAGCCGATGCAAGAGCCGCTTCCGTTTGACCCGAAAATCGTTCAACAAGGACTCTCAGAGTCGGATTTTTGACTGACTTCAATTATCAGAATCTTATGAATGATTATGAGTCCTGAATCTGAACTGAAATCTGAAAGGGTACTTATGGGTTACTTATGAGCATACTTATGGGCACTTGACAAAACAAAGGCTATAACTATACCTTTTTTAGTTTAGCTTAACCTTTATCTACAGTCATGGACAAAAGTCTTTTAACATTGGTTTTTAGAAGTTTGTTCTTTGTATATCTTGGTCCAAATCCGACCAATTTGCAAAAGGTTGAAATTAGAGATAATAAGCTCTTTAAATCTTTTATCTACAGTCATGGAAAAAAGTCTTTTAACGTTGGTTTCCCGAAGTTTGTTCTTTGTATCTCTTGGTCCAAATCCGACCAATTTGCAAACGGTTAAAAGATTTAAAGAGCTTATTATCTCTAATTTCAACCTTAGAGATAATAAGCTCTTTAAATCTTTTAACCGTTTGCGAATTGGTCGGATTTGGACCAAGATATACAAAGAACAAACTTCGGGAAACCAACGTTAAAAGACTTTTGTCCAGACTTTTGTCCATGACTGTACTATAATTTAATCTAGAAGTTTAATTTAAACATATTTAGCTGATAAATGAAACATATTTGTACTAAAATTGATATATTTTTAAGATGAAAAAATATGCGGTGAACCCATAAGTACCTCTGAAAAAGCTGAAAGATATAAAATCTTTTAGATTACATATTTATCCAACTCGTCAGGGTGGAGGATTGATGCAAATCGAGGTGACAATGTCGTTCGGATTACAACCCGGATGGATTACCGAGGTTCTGCGAAATAAGAATCTTATAAAACATTAAAGTCTATAAGCTATAAACTAGTTTAAAAGCTAAATCATGAAATAAAGTAATGAAAAAACTACCGTAATCTTGCCCCTAGTTTCTCTGTAATCGATCGACATTTGATTCGATTCTGTGATTGCAATAGCATGCAAAAAAGAGAATGGATTGGGTAATAACGGTAGCTTTCGGTAGCTTTCGTTGACGGTAGCTTTCGTTGACAGTAGCTTTCGTTGACGATAGCTTTCGTTGACGGTAGCTTTCGAGAAAAAACATTACTCTAATCCCGTTTTCAGATCGAGCGAAGCGTCGTCGAGTACTACACGGGTGATCAGAGCAACTCCGGGCAACAGGCGAACAATATTGCTGAGGTTTAAATTACAATTTCTTTCTAGTTTTAGTATTTATTGCCTTTTTCAGTATTTGGAGAGAAAATTGGGCGGTTTTTGGTCGGTGATGATTGTTGACGATCCCGGGATTGCCGCTTTCACCGTCAGTCGGAAGCCGATTTACGCGATGATACAAGTAGGATGTTGAATCAGTTTAAAAAAAAGGGGATAACCAGGTAAGGTAAAGCAGATCAGTTTAACCCTGTTCTATGTACAATTTGGTGATCTAGATTTGCATAAGTTTTCAAGTAAATATGCTTAACGAGAATCTACTATGCATAAAAGAGCAGTGTCTGTTTGTCTGTCTGTACGGTCATTTTCTCAGCCATGTTTTAACCAATAAAGCTAAAACTTCTTTAGAAAAACTTAGAATACATTGTAGTTATGTCATTTAAAACAAAATTTAAAAAAAATCAAGATCCAGTGAGACACCCGTGGACCGAACCGGGACCGTGTGGGTTGTAAAAAAAAGTGTTCCCGCTTGCGCCAAGGTGACCAAAGTAAATCAGTTTATCAATAATCTGTCAACAATACTGTTTGTGTGATTTTATCATCTATGAAAGGCCTTGCCAGAAAAACCGTTTATTTTACCGTTAAGCATTCAGGTAAACGGCGGTGAGGGTATTCTGATCTCAAGCTCTGGCATCCCAGCTGGTGGCCCTTCAGGAATCAGCATCGGCTCTCCATTTAGACAAGTAAATAACAAAGTTGTTGTAAAATTGTTTTAAAAACAAAATTTTAGCCTCCACACATGGGATAAGCGAAAATCTCTTTCTTTTGTCAATAAATTTTCTATCGAGGTGTTTATTTGTGTGGAAATGGATGAGAGAAACAGGGGTTTTCGATGAGAACTTTTCAAGTACAAGAGAAAGATTTCAATCAAAAAGGCGTTTAAGGACAGACAGACAAAGCCACTCCGGGCGGGGGGATTGGTTGTAATGTGTTCTGAGTGAGGGGAAGGGGTAAGGGGTGAGCGATGCAGGCCCTCTTTTGGGTCCGCTCATCGGCTACTCTATGCTATTTTCTGACCAAATCTCTTTCTTTAGCACTTATAACTTTTAAAAGTGTTTTAGAATAAAACACTTTTCATGTAAAGAACACTTTTTTCTAGCTCTCTAGAGATTATTTCATTTCATAGGGTTGTACTTGTACGGATTACGGTTACGCTAAATCTCTTGATCTCTTGAATAAATCTGGATCTAAATATTTGATTTCTTGGATCTCTTAACCATTTCATTGATAGAAATCTTTAAAAAAACTTTCAAAATAGCAGATTTGATCAGCTACATATTTAGCCTTTCTTTAATTTTTTAAGTTTTAAAAAGAGTAATTTTTAATCAAGTTTTCTGTAAAAAAAATGATTAAAGTAAATGAGTTTATCAATAATCTGTCAACAATATTGTCTGTGTTTGCGACATTTTATCAGCTATGAAATCCGTTTTGCAACCTTTAGCCTTTCAAGGCAGTTTTGGTTTGAAAAAGTGTGGAATTTCTCAAATTTTTAATAAAATTTTCTGTCAAAAATGATTAAAGTAAATCAGTTTATCTTTATTTATTTATTTAATATCAAAAGCATCAAAATTGGTTGAGTAGGAAGTTGAGGACTTCTCAAAAAACACCGAAATGCAGATTTAGAGTTTTTCGGGTTACTATAGCCAAAAACTAACACCGGATTCCGATTCGGATTCGAGGGGATTGAACCCTCGATCTTTCGCTTTCCGGACAAACCAGGATCTTTTGCTCTAACCATTGAGCTATCCGTTACCCTAATACTTGATCTCTTGAATAAATCTGGATCTAAATATTTGATTTCTTGGACCTCTTAACCATTTCATTGATAGAAATCTTTAAAAAAACTTTCAAAATAGCAGATTTTATCATCTACATATTCAGCCTTTCTTAGTAATTTTTAATCAAATTTTCTGTAAAAAAATGATTAAAGTAAATGAGTTTATCAATAATCTGTCAACAATACTGTTTGTGTGATTTATTATTTTATTTTATTATTACAGCTATGAAATCCGTTTTGCAGCTCATTTTAACCTTTAGCATTTCAAGGCAGTTTTGGGTTGAAATGATGGAAAATTTCATGGAAAAATACAGCCAAATTTAAGGGCTAAACCAGTCATCGGGTTTGAGGGGAGATTTTTCGCGACTTCTAAGCGGTGAGTGACTCAGCCGGCTTCGCGGTTTTGCGCCTCACTATGCCCAAATTTTTTGAGATCAATTTTTCTCTCGCTTTTTTCTAAGACTGAAAAGGGAACAACTATCTATCGGGGGCGTGTGCCAGGTGGAAAGCGATTACGCCGCCGCACAAAGAATGCCTGCCAGGCACTTTATACAGTGATTTTTTGTCTGTAAATGATTCCCAAATGAGATTTAATGTGAAAAATTTGTCCGGGGTTTTTAGGGTCGTAGAATCTATTAGCGGAGTTTATTTTAATCCTTTATTTCAAGAGAATCGATTGGGTTTGGATTTTGTATATGGTAGCTTTGAAAAGATCCGGATTTCCGAGAAGAAAAGGCTATGTGTTTTTTTTTGTTTTAATCAAACCATTGACCTTATCTCGTATTGAAATCATCAATTTCTTCATGAAATGAATTTTTTTGATCTTTCTTCGCACTTAGGTGTTCCTATTTGCGTAGATCACAACCTGCTTCCACATTTCTCTATCCCTTGATATTGTCATCCAGTGTTTCCTATCTTGGTTGTTCCTGGTTCGAAGTCTTTGACTTGCTTGTGCTGGTGGTGGTTGCAGGAGGGCCATGAAATGAATTTTAAGCATAACTCCAAAGTGTTCATGGTGATTGCACTCTAGCCATCCTTTCTCTGACCGTCTCTGCCACTCTTGTGCTCCACCTCGTTGCTGGTCTTCCGATGGGCCTCTTCTGGTCTCGTGGTAGCCACTCTGTGATCCGTATCGTCCATCTGTCGTCGTATCACGTGGCCAGCCCATCGGAGTCTTTTTCTCTCAATCACTTCCACTGGATCTCTGAGTCCCGAGAACTGGCGCATATCCGTACTTCTTAGGTCTTGGTCGAGCTGGTCGAGCTGCCCGAGGAGGGCAATGAAAGGAATTTTAAGCATAACTCTAAACTTCTAAAGTTTCATCTTGTTCTAAAATTGTAATTCTCATTGATTTCTAAATATTTAGAAGTTTTTATTCTTTTCTATGTTTCAAGAATTTTTCTTTGCTCAATTTTTTTCTTTGTTTGTGCTGCCGCTTTTTTCGCGTCAACCATTGACAAATTTCGATTTTTCTCTTCTTGTTGAAATTTTCTGGGGAAGGATTGAAAAAAAAAAAAAAAGGGGGGAAAAGAGTGGACTCTTGTGAAGATTTTCTCTTCACCTAAACACAAATAGAGGAAAAATATTTGAAATACATTGGATGAGAAAGGGGAAAACACTGAACAACAATCGACCATTCAAAACAACACTTCAAATTATGAAATTAACTGGACTTTGCTTTTTTTTTTATTTAATCAGATCGTGATGAATTTTTTCAAATAAAATCTTGAGCTTTTTGTTTTGTCCCAATAGCATTTTTGGTATGCTTTACCACTAGAAATCTGAACGCATCCCAATAAACTATAGCATAAATCGTTCGTAAGCATTTTACCTTTATGTTCGTTCGTAAGCACTTTGCCTCTAGACTAAACTCTAGACTATGGTATGGGATTTTCGCGTTCTCATTTGTTCTCATTTGGTTCTCATTTGGTTCTGATTTGTTTTGTTATTTATTTACTATTATTTTTGTGCAATTTTCTAATCAAAAAGCTATTATGACCCGCAAGCAGTAATACCCAGAAAGCCAGAGAAAGCAGAGTGGCTGAGAGTTTTGATTTGCACTAGATTCATGTAAGAGTTCTGAAATCGCTTTCAACACCGACAGTGATTTATGAGCTGCATAACTCTATAGCATTGGCATAGCTCGAAATCTCGATGACAGTATCGGTATAACATTTGAGTTATGAGTGTCGCTGCTTTATAAAGACTGTTATAAAGAGTTATAAAGAGTGTTCGTGAGCCAGGCTTTGATTTACTGAAAAGGGAAAGTTTTCTTTTTGTTGCCCAAGCTTATTTTAGTATGTAGATAATTTTAGACACGACAACTATAAGCCATTGTATCGACTATTCCCAGTTGAAGTTGATTAAGTTGATGATAGACCAAATGAATGAATGCCAAAAAGAAAGAGCCGATTTTTGCCATTTTTCAATCATTTTGTTCTAAGCGCTGGTCCAATTTAATTCTAAAAATATGTTTTACATCTCAAGAAATCACCCAAGAAATCACTTTCATTTGATATCTAAATAACAAAACAGAAACAAATGTTTAAGCGTCAAGATATGAGCGTTTCTTTGAGTCCCTTAGACTCATCTAAGTGTAAGTTTGCACTTAGATGACGCTCGTATAAAGGGCTTTTATTAGAGTATTTATTAGAGGTAGCTACCATGTTGCTATCCAAAACTCAAAACCATTCTTACATAATGGCTTTAAATTCTTACATAAAGGTTTCCTATCGAAGTCCAGGTATATTCGAAGAAGATCCCATTGCAAACCCCAATTTACCGCTTCTATCTTGAATTTTCCCTTGTTCCCTGGGATCTTCACAAAAATTGAAACTGAGACAAGATGGATGGGGTATTGTAGATACTCGAGATCAATAGAAAGATCAAAAGCTGGAAAAGAAAAAGGCTGAAAGAAGGGTTTATGTGTAACGATTGAGGCTCTCCTTTCCATGCTCTTTTTGACTCATTGAGCAAGAGATTGGGTGATTGTGGAGGAAATTGAGAGAGACTTGTGTCCCCCTCAAATCCTGTGGGAGTCCCCACCCCTCAAATCGGTTCTCCCCGTTTACTCTTATCCTCCACGATTTGTGCGATGAGCTACCTCTCCCCGTTGCCACACTATCCGGCTCCTAGGTAAGTTATAAAGAAATTTGTTTATAACGGTTTATCACCGGTTTAGCACGTGAGCTTTCATTAATAAACTTTTCGAAAGAGATAGCTCAAAATCGAGAACTAGAGCTGGTTAATGGATTTATCAAGTTCTCAAAAAGTTTTCCAACTTTTACAAAGTCTTCTTACTTTAATAAGGATCTTAATGGCTTTAGAATAAGTGCTTTTGTAGAGTGTAGATTATTTCGATGGAGTGTTTCAGTAGAGGTAAAGTGAGAGGCCATCGGTTCGATCTTCGGTTGATACTATGTTTTGTACAGTTCATAAATCAAGTTAATAGCTTAATAATCAATCAATAAATCATGTTAGTTTGTCATTTTCAAGTCAGTTTGTTCGTAAGCACTTTGTCTTTATTTAAAAAATCTAGACTAAACTATGGTATGGGATTTTCGCGGTTTATTGCGTTTTTGTTGAGTCGACTTAAACATTTTGTAAACACAATTTTGTTGAGTCGACTAAAACATGCAGAACATTGATAGCTGGTATTGATAAAGAGAACAGGACATCCGTTATTGAATATATCGAAAATTTGCTCTTTCTCTGTTTATCAACTCATTTGTTAAGATTTACATGAAAAGAAAATCATTTCTAGTTATAAAAACTGATGACTAATATTTTCTATTCTAGTTATACTGAACTCTGCAATACTCTGAATACTTGTAATATCGAAAATCAAGTACCAACCAATTACCAACCAAGTACCAACCAAGTGGTTGAACCAAGTACTAAACTTGAAGCCATTTCTCTTACTTTCTCATACCTTCACTGCCACTAATTCGAGGTGAATAATCGTGTTACTTAACCTCAAAAATAACTCCTCAAGTTTTCCCCGAGAAAAGTGTGAAAGGGATTTCTTTCTCTGAGAAAATACCTAGTTTCGTTTCCTTTTTCTTTTCTCAATATTTCCCTCTTTTCTCCCGTTCTCAATCGATCAATGAGCAGCGATCCCTTTTCTTTCTTTCTTTCTTTCTTTCTTTCTTTCTTTCTTTTTTTCTTTCTTTATTTGCTTTTTAACCTGAAAAGCTTACTTTTCATGACTCAGTTTTTTTATAAAATCTCTTATTTATAAATCCTAATCCACTGTTAATTATCAATTATGAATTTATCAAGCTAAAAAATTAGCTAATTAAATATTGGGTAATAAAACCGAAATAAGTGTTTGATAAGAGTGAAACAGAAGCGATTTCTGCTCCCTATACCAAAAGCCTTTATGCCAAAAGCTGCGCGATTACGTAAACATCAAAATTTTCATCGTTTTGCAAATCTGATTTTTCTGATTCTGATCTGATTTTGCAATCTGATTTTTTTAAAATTCATAACTTTATTAGTTTTTAACATTTTTGTAATCACTTTATGTTTTATTAGAGAATCTTTTAATATCAAAAGCATCAAAATTTGGTTGAGTAGGAAGTTGAGGCGATGCGGGCCCTCTTTTGGGTTCGCTCATCGGCTACTCTATGCTATTTTCTGACCCAATCTCTTTCTTTAGCACTTATCACTTTTAAAAGTGTTTTAGAATGAAACACTTTTCATGTAAAGAACAATTTGTTTCTAGTTCTCTAGAAACAAATTGTTCTCTAGAGATTATTTAATTTCATAGGGTTGCACGTGTACGGATTACGGTTACGCTAAATACTTGATCTCTTGAATAAATCTGGATCTAAATATTTGATTTCTTGGACCTCTTGACCATTTCATTGATAGAAATCTTTAAAAGAAACTTTCAAAAAAGCAGATTTTATCATCTACATATTTAGCCTTTCTTAGTAATTTTTAATAAAATTTTCTGTAAAAAAATGATTAAAGTAAATGAGTTTATCAATAATCTGTCAACAATACTGTTTGTGTGATTTTATCAGCCATGAAATCCGTTTTGCAGCTCATTTTAACCTTTAGCATTTCGAGGTAGTTTTGGTTTGAAACAGTTTGTAAAAAAAGTAAATCAGTTTATCTTTATTTATTTATTTAATATCAAAAGCATCAAAATTGGTTGAGTAGGAAGTTGAGGACTTTTCAAAAAACACCGAAATGCAGATTTTGAGTTTTTCGGGTTACTATAGCCAAAAACTAACACCGGATTCGGATTCGGATTCGAGGGGATTGAACCCTCGATCTTTCGCTTTCCGGACAAACCAGGATCTTTTGATCTAACCACTGAGCTATCCGGTACCCTAATTTACCAGGAGAAAGAGGGAAAGACATGAAAAAGCCGTTATCGGCTTAACTAGCTAGACTTGAGAAGATTGTGCTTAACTAAATCTATTTTTTTTTCTTAAACTATAGTTCTATGGATTAAAAAATCGTATAAAATCTATATTCTAAACAACTATAGAATATATCGTATCCTTAAACTATTCAGAATCCTTAAACTATTCAGATATAAGATGCAAAAATTTTAAGGTTTAACCTCATAGTCTCTTTTTTTCCCCGTAAAACAGTATCTTCTACTAATTCTAGAGCAAATAATGTATAAATTTTGTCCTTATAATGGCAATTACTGACTCATTTCTCATATATTATTGCTATAATTGTTTTTCTTTTCTCGATTCCATCCCAGTTTCATTACCCGATTTTTCTCTACAGAAGCCACTTCGATATAAAGAAAAGGGAAAGGTTATAAAAGGATTGTTCTCCTTTTCTTCTTCTTCTTCTCCTTCTCCTCCTCCTTCTCCTTCTTCTCCTTCTCCTTCTCCTTCTCATCCTCCTTCTCCTTCTTCTTCTCCTTCTTCTTCTTTGTCTTCTTCTCCATTTCGGTCAAGATCTCGATTTGGCTCTCTCTCTTCGACTCTTTCACCTTCCCGTCCCTTGTTGTTCTCATGCATTCACCCGGAATGGATAGCTCACCTCCCGATTTGTATCATCTTCTCCAATTCACACATCGCACAAAGCTTGTTCATTGCTTGTTCTCTTCAACACCGGTTTAAGTTTGAAATTTCTATTTCAAGATTTGCCTTTCATTTCCATTTACCTAATCTTGTAGGCTTGCTTTGCTAAATTCTAAATGCTAAACTTTTGATAAATGAATTGTTTTAAAACCCTAAAATTTGTCCATTTTGTTGGATCGAAATCGGGTGGGAGGACTCTCACGTCCGATCGCATTGTTGCTTCAATCTAATTACTGTTTAAGCAACACAATGGTTTGAGTGAATGTAGAATTTATGCTAAAGCCAAATTTAAAGACAAAAATTGATGCAAAAGGGGAAATTGGCAAACTCGGCTCACCGATCCTTCTCGGCTGTAAGGTGCAAAAGGGAATACCTATCTATCGAGGACGTGTGCCAAATGGAGATCGATTACGCGAGCGCACAGAGAACACATCCCTAGTCATTTTCTTTTGCTTCGTACATCATTCCCGTATGAGATTTGAAGCTAAAAATCTGTCTCTGGGGGTTTTCGGGGTCGGGGAATCGATTGGCGCTATTCATTTTATTGAGTCTACCAATTAGAGCTCTCAAATGATTTATAATAAGCATAGATTAGATAAGGTGCCTTTAACGGACTAGATTAGCATAATTTATTTAGCATAAATAAGCTAATAAATAAGGATAGCTCTTTTCAGGACTAAAACTATTATTTAATCTTTTGTTCAAGATTCTGACCATTCAACAAGTACGTTTAGTCTATCTTTTCACTGTCAGATCATCTTCATCCTGTTCTTCTTTTCATTCTCTTCCATTCAATTTCAATGAACACTTTTCTCATCTCTGATCTCTCTTTTTTCTATCAATATTTACCCGGAGATTTTCGGGATTTGCCGGATTGATTTTCAGGATTTGCAGGATCTTTTTTTGGTTTTTTTGGCCGTTTTTATTGCGTTCTTTTGACTTCTATCAGTGAAAAGGAAAAGAATTTCAATTTACTCCTTTGACGACGATTTGAAGTGCTTAAAAGAAACGTCGAAAAGCTGCTTGAAAGAAACGTCGAAAAGCTTTGATATTTTAGAAAAAAACGACTTCAATCTTTCAGATTTTTGTGCTAAATGTTTTTTTAGTAGTTTTTTAGCTAAATTTTTGCCAACTTACCATTTTTTTCCATTGCTTTATAAAAGTTTCTTGAAAAGCGTAAATTTCCAACTTTTTCAACGAGATTTAACATGCTGTATCCTTTTTTTTAAAGCTTAAAACCAAATCCCATCAATAAAACTCATTTAATTTTAACGATAACTTGTACATTTTGCTACTGTTTACTGCATTTAAATGACTGTTTTTCTTACTGCAATTGGGCTAGTTTTGAGTACAAAGCAACAATGCTTACATGATTATTTTTATTATTAATATTCGTAAATACAGTCGAACTTCTCTATAACGACCTTCTATTGGGTTGATGGAAAAGTTCTTTCCGATTTTTTGGTTTTGGAAGAGTACCTTAAATTTGTCGAATTTTGACGTTTTATAGCTCATCCTAAAGCTGAATTGAAGACGGATCGATTGGTAAAAACCGTTTTGAGATAGCTCTTTTCTAAAAGTTTTTACAGCTATTTTAGTAAAGGGCGGTAGAGCCAAAAAATGGCTGTCTTCACGTTTCGTTAGTTTTCCGTGCAGAAACCTCGGCTAAAAACATGTGTTTCGTGATCAGCGTCAAAAATAACCGCTAGACACAAATTTTCAGAATCCTAGCAAAATATTTTTGAAAAATATTGTCACCGGTGGAAGTCGAACCAGCGACCCTCAGATCAATAGCCTTTCCGCCGCTTTTCGCTATTTTCCTTCGTTTTTCCCCTTTTTTTTGTTTTATCATTGTTTTGATGTTGTTAGAAGGCTTTTTTCAGGAATTTCGTATCTAGTTTCAGAATCTTTTGTCAACAGCATTGTATTGGGTTGATGGAAAAGTCCTTTCGGATTTTTTGGGAGAGTACCTTAAATTTGTCGAATTTTGACGTTTTATAGCTCATCCTAAAGTTGAATTCAAGACGGATCGATTGATAAAAAGCGTTTTGAGATATCTCTTTTCTAAAAGTTTTTACAGCTATTTTAGTAAAGGGCGGTAGAGCCAAAAGCTATAAAACGATCCGTCTTGAATTCAGCTTTAGGATGAGCTACAAAACGTCAAAATTCGACAAATTTAAGGTACTCTCCCAAAAAATCGGAAAGAACTTTTCCATCAACCCTATATATAAAAATTTTAAAACTCTAAAAGGTCTAAAAGATTTTGAAACTCTAATTTCTGTGTAGCTGCCCAATTAGGTGCAATCGTTGCCCGCACAGGGCAGCTACGCAGAAAATGTGGCGCGCGTTTTAGAATCGTTATATAGAAACCTTTGGTCCTTTCGATATCGTTATAGAAATCGTTCGACTATAATCAAATGCAAATTTTTCTTTAGGGCTGTGCGTCGGTCGACTTCACTTGCGGCTTTGAATCGGATCGCAGACGAGGCGTCAATTCTCGAGGCTAGCACATGGGACCCCCGCCGCCGCCTCCCCCACCCCCACCCGTTCGTTTTTTTTGAAGAAAATATCAGCAGAACAGCTTCAGAAATCGTAAAAATGATTACCAGAAATGAATTCTCTGTGTGGGGAAACCCAACCATGCAAATTGCACCCATGGCGCGGTGGATAGTGATCGCCGCCGCCTCAAGCGCACAAGACTTCGGGTTCGATCCCCGCCAGTGACCACCTACTTTGTCATTTTGCTAATTTTTTTAAAAGGCTGCTAATTTTAAAACAACTACATGAAATTTCGGGGTAGGCTAATTTCCGCAATTTTTTTTGCTGGGTCCTTTGCGCAACCCGCCATAACTTTCTTCTAAGTGGACCAATCTTTATGATTTTGGTATTATTTTGTATATCTCAATAAGTGTAACAAAACATTAACTAGCCCCCACATGAACGGAAAAAAGCAAATAGATCACCGATCTTTGGGAAACGCGAAGTGAAAAAAATTGAATCACCGCGACAAAAATAGCGACTGATAAAATGCGCTAATTTGCCGAAATACTATAACGCTTGGCTGAATAGCTTGTAATTTGGAAAACACAATTAAAACCATTCAGTGATACTTTTCATTTTCAGGGGTAGGCTCATTTCCGCAATTTTTTTTGCGCAACAGGTTAATTTGCGCAACTCGCCATAATTTTCTTCTAAGTACGCTAATCTTTATGATTTTGGTTTCATTTTGTTACACTTATTGAGATATACAAAATGATACCAAAATCATAAAGATTGGCCCACTTAGAAGAAAGTTATGGCGACTTGTGCAAATGAGCCTGTTGCGCAAAAAAAATTGCGGAAATTAGCCTAGCCCGAAATTTCATTAGACATGTGTTTCAGCGTTTTTTAAAATACTCAAAAGGGAGGCCCGTAGTGCCGGCACAGACGGACAGAGATTATTTTTATACATAGTAGAGATTTCTGAATCTTAATTTGTTTTGGAAATAGATTTATTTCGAAAACATCGTTTTTTTTAGTACATTCAAACGTTTTTAAGCAAAACATCTAGAAATTCGATTGCTTAGAGCTCGCTGTTACGATTCAAAACCAATTTACATATATCAATTTGCAAATTTGTTTAAAATTTGACTACTTGCCATTTTTAGCCATCGTTTCTGGCACCGAGCCGGCGGCCACCAGCGAATTTACACCGACGTAACAACAATCCCGCACCTCGTTCGTTTTTTTTTGTTATACAAGACTTTTATATATAAAATAGAGAATAATATTTATAGATTTGTAAGAAATATATTGATACTTTGATCTTTATCTTTATTTATACTTTGATCTTTATCTTTATTTATACTTTCATCTTTATCTTTATTTATACTTTGATCTTTATCTTTATTTATACTTTCATCTTTATCTTTATTTATACTTTCATCTTTATCTTTATTTATACTTTCATCTTTATCTTTATTTATACTTTCATCTTTATCTTTATTTATACTTTCATCTTTATCTTTATTTATACTTTCATCTTTATCTTTATTTATACTTTCATCTTTATATTTTCTTGTGAGACCGTGTCTCGGTGTGGTAGTTATCTTGAAAACATACAATTTATCAAAATTTTCCCTTATTAGGGCAAAACTCGCTCAAACTGGAGCAACCTGGCACTATCACAATTACTTCAACACTTGCTTTTGAAAGAAGGAATGAATAGAAAAAGGGAGCATACAACTGACTCAGAACAAAGCTTAAATAATGGGTTTTTGAAGTACACAAGCTACGACAAACGGCCAACTGAATCTAGTGGCTGATTACAGTAGTTTATTCATCAACTTTGAATTTGAACTTGTGTATTGAATTTTGACTAACTGCAGAATTTTGACTAACTAGCAGTGGCAATTCGCCACAAGATTTATCTATCGAAAAAGTTCTTCAATACTTTTTTTTTCAGCGTCGTCCGCAAAAACCCGTCCCAGTCTGGACGCTGCGACACTACAGGTAGAAAAAAAGTGATTGGGAAAAGTTTTTATATATTGTTTTATTGTAAAAGTTTAATAGAAGATGTAAATTGAAATGTTTGATAGAAGTATTTACTAGTAATATAATAATATTTTAAAATAGCAAATATTCCAGCACGCAGCCGCTAGTTTGCGCAAGACCGTCGACGGTGAACAGATTCGAAGTCACCAGGAGGATCTATCCTATGGATCATTGGCAGGGTGAGGTGTAGAAAGGAAATTAGATCGACAGTCACATATATTGACAGTAATTCTATATATCTTGAATATTTCCAGATCGAATCAACAATTGCCTGGACGAGATTGGCCGATTGGCGCGCAGCAGCAGCCATTGGGAGCAAATCAATCCGTTCAGCAGGTGAGAGAACGATTGGATTTCTATCAGAAAAAAAGATAGTTGAATTTAAGGCAAATATATTAGATAGTACTATCAACGACAGCACGAAGGTCTTCCTGAACCCGAACCATCACCTCGCGGGAAACGTTTCCCGTGGGAAAATTGCGGAGAGAAACCTTTCCCGCGCACCATCATCTAGCGGGAAATTTCCCGACAAGGTGATGGTTCGGGCTCTCGTTGCACACCTTTGGGGAATGTCCTCGTTGCGCACCTTTGGGGAATATCCTCGTTGCGCACTTTTGGGGAATATCCTCGTTGCGCACCTTTGGGGAATGTCCTCGTTGCGCACCTTTGAAGAATGTCCTCGTTCCTCGTTTTCTAGATTCTCATTACCCTGTCGAAAATGCTAAAACTAGTTTCAAATTTGTCGTTTCAATATCGATTCATCTCCAAAAATCATCTTGATTGATCATCCTGATTGATTAAAAGATATTTGCGAGTCTCGGCAGTGATTTTTCTTTGTTTGAAATCGTACAGTACAGTACGTACAGTATAGTACAGTACGTACAGTATAGTACAGTACGTACAGTACAATACAGTACCTATAGTACATACAGTAGAGACCCGAATTCGATATTCTCATTCATTCTGTAAACAAACGAATTTAAAAAAAGAACAAAATCATAATTCCATTAAAAACCAAGATTTCACTATGATAAGTCAGCGGAAATTTGTCAATTTGTCAAAAAAAGCAAACTGAAGTCTTTGTTTTTAAATTTTGAAAGCAATAAAATGCTTAGAATGCTTTCAAAGCAATAAAGCAGCAAAGCAACAAAGCAGCAGCAAAGCAGCAAAGCAGTACAGCTCAATTACTGTAAAGATATTCAGTCAAAAATCAATGTAAATATATTCCTTCCTTAAAAGATCTTCAGTTTAAAGAAGCGTTACTTACATTTTTAATATTCAGGTATATGCTACGCCCTCTCGTTCCATGCCAACTCGTCCGCTCGTCGACTTACGTGGACGCGGCGATCCGATAAACGTCCCACAGTATCCAAACGCCTCACCATATAAAAATTACAATGTAAGTGTAATCGGGTAATCGAATTTTTCTAGGCCACCTTTTCTAGGCCCCAACCGTCACCATCCAACCACCCACCGAAACCTCTATCTACAGTAGTTCTCAGTACTCAATCCCGCAACGATCGTCGCCTTCACCAAACTATTCTCAACAACAGCAATATTCTCAACCTAGCCCTACCCGAAATTTCTCGCAAACAGTCACACGCACCAGCTACAGTACCGTCGATTCCCCATCCAACGTTCAACCTCCCAACTACATTGTCACCCCAAATAACAACTATATTCAAGAGAAAAGCTATAACACTTATGCAAATGTGTCACCGAAACAAGCAGCCTATGGAAATGGAAACTACAGTACCCCGAGAAGGTCGGTTTATCTCAGGAAAGGCTTATTAGGATATTAGTTAGTACAGTATACCGGTAGGTATTAATCTAATGGTGAAAGATATCCAGCTAGCTTGAGTTGAAGACTTTGTAGGAACTTGTCTTGTCTTACTGTAGCAAGATAATATTTTTCTATTATAGCTCATCTCCATTGATTCTTGATGCCCGAGAGCGAATTCACGATTTTGCGACGACCACGGCTGCCGAGGTGCCCTCAACCTCGAAGTTCACAGTAATCTAGTTTACAGTATTCTTATAGACTCTAAACTATATCTAGACTTTTTCAGCGAACTGTAGCAATATAATATTCTTATTTAATTTGATCTAATTCATTATCAAAAAGAAATCTTTCAATCTGTTTTTCTTCAGCAAGCTCGTCGATCTCCTCAACCCGCGAGATCGGTCGATCCTGGCTCGAATCTCGCAAAACAAATTCGTGATCAAGGTGAGTTTTTAAATGGAAATTTGATGTATCATGTAAAAAGGAAAAAGCTCATTACGGGAATAAAACTTTAGAATTTAAATAAAGTCAAGAAGGAGTTAGATTTGAGAATGTTTTTTTTTGATTTTTTGGAGAGTTTAATTTACATAGATGATACTGTTTGATTACATACCGTAAATACTGTAATAGTACCCCACCCCCTCGTACAGTCGGGTAGTCGCAAAAGTTTTTTAGTATTTCATTTTTTTCAAAGCGCCCGTACTTTCAAAAAATGCGTCTTTGGTATCGAAAAATAGCTGAAATTCAGGGCTATTTTTTGATACCTAAGCGCGCTTTGTAGCATAAACCAGTGTCGAGAAAAACTCGTTCAAAGCTAGACTACGCGATGCTCCGCACCGCACATCGATTACACCCCTATGTAAATTTTTTTTTCTTTAAATCAAAAATCCGAACACTACAAATTTTAAGTTAGGCCCAAAAATGAACGGAAAAAATAAAATGATCCGAAAAGCATCATCCAAAATTTCAGAATTAAAGGCGGCGACTTTGATGTTAGTGAAATTTCATATTTCATCGAACCATAAAGTGTTATATGTCATTCAATAGCTCTTTTCACGCTCTTTCAGAATGCTGAATTGAGTTTTTGTGGAATTCTATTTTTCCATGAAATTTTTTCCATATTCGGCGCCGAAAAGTCAAAATAATTTTTTTCACGAAAATCTAGCTGATAAACTAGGCTCAAAAAGCAAATTTCTGAATTCTACGCAAAAAGTTGGTCGGGAATTGTTTTTTAATTTTGTGTTTTGGTCAATGGAAACGCGAGCTCTGAAACCTAGGTTTTTTAGAAGTGCGCGGTTATATGGTCCACGCACACCTTTGATGTTGGTAAAATTTTTCTTTTGTGTCAAATCATCAAGTGTTATATATCATTCGAAAGCATTTTTATGTGTTTAAACAAAGCAGAAAGAATTTCCCAAAAACTTTGACTTTTTATTAGTTTTCTCCGATTTTATAATCTGGAATGCAGTTTACCTCTGGAGTTTATGTAGGCAACCCAGGTGCACAGACAAATACAGACTGCCTTGACAATTACTCGATAAATTACCATGCCAAAGGCATGACAGATGATAAAGTTATAAATGTCAATCGCAGGAGAAAATCATTTAGTTACAGACAATTTGGCTTCCCGATTATTTATTTTTTGATTATTAGCTTATTATTATTTTTCTTATTACATTCGTATTTCCAACACTTTCAAAGCAAAAGTTATAATTTGCCGATGGGACGAACATCAGGAGCCGGTGGAGATCGGTTTCTCGGTGGAGATCTATCTTTCTTGAACACCAATTTTGGTCTTTCCTGTGCGATGACGTTTGGATGTTTATGGTGCAACAAGAGGTTTGACAAAAAACCATCCGCTGATAAGGATTCAATTGATTTTCAACAATATGCTGATCGGAGTGACCCTTCGGTGGAAGCGACGATTTCAAAAGTAAAAGGTCTGCAGGCAAAAAAAGAAAATCTATTAAATGTTTCTCGAAGTTTGGTAATTCCCCCAATACTTCATGCAAAAATCAAGATTGGAAACCAACTTTTTGAACAATTGGTGAAACTCGAAGGGTCCTCTCAGACTTTCCAAGATGTTTGTCGAAAATGGAAGTTGGATGTGAATCGGAAGAGTGATGGGATTATCTATGCTCGTTTCAACGGAAACGATATAAAGAATCTCTGTCGATCCTCAGTGATTTCTGATTTAGCAGTCGTTTCTTCCTCCCATTCCTATCAAGTCGTCATTTCTGCATTACGCGAGTTCAACAAATGGTCTCAAATGGTTTCAACCGCTAAAAGTGTTCTTTCGGATAAAGAAATAAAAGATTTGGCTTGCAAAGGCAAACATTCAAAAGCCAGAAATTGCTGCCAAATAGCGATTCTTTGCGATGAACTAGAAAAAGTTGGTGGTTTTGGACAAAGTGTACTGGTCCATGCTCTACTCTTACATCTTGGCCCATTTGTCCATGAGCATAAATTCATCGGAAATGCATCCGGAGAGGGCATTGAGGCAGTTCACAGCAGGCTAGAATCTGAATTTGCTCGAAACAAGACAGGACCACAAGAAGAGCGATTAATGAACCCGCTCAAGTGGCTCGGTTATGTTGTTCTCCTCAATGATGATGGAAAGATGACATCTTAATTTCCTCCTTTTTGCTTAATGTTCAATTGTGATTCTTTTTTTTGTCTAATTCATGCTTATAAATAGAATCAATTTTTTCTATACTATATCAGATCTGCAAGTACCGCAGAACCAGAAAAAAACTGCATTCCAGATTATAAAATCGGAGAAAACTAATAAAAAGTCAAAGTTTTTGGGAAATTCTTTCTGCTTTGTTTAAACACATAAAAATGCTTTCGAATGATATATAACACTTGATGATTTGACACAAAAGAAAAATTTTACCAACATCAAAGGTGTGCGTGGACCATATAACCGCGCACTTCTAAAAAACCTAGGTTTCAGAGCTCGCGTTTCCATTGACCAAAACACAAAATTAAAAAACAATTCCCGACCAACTTTTTGCGTAGAATTCAGAAATTTGCTTTTTGAGCCTAGTTTATCAGCTAGATTTTCGTGAAAAAAATTATTTTGACTTTTCGGCGCCGAATATGGAAAAAATTTCATGGAAAAATAGAATTCCACAAAAACTCAATTCAGCATTCTGAAAGAGCGTGAAAAGAGCTATTGAATGACATATAACACTTTATGGTTCGATGAAATATGAAATTTCACTAACATCAAAGTCGCCGCCTTTAATTCTGAAATTTTGGATGATGCTTTTCGGATCATTTTATTTTTTCCGTTCATTTTTGGGCCTAACTTAAAATTTGTAGTGTTCGGATTTTTGATTTAAAGACGATTATTTTTGTAACCTATGTGCACCGTTATTATGGAGGTGGGGTACTATTACAGTATTTACGGTAGATGATACTGTTTGATTGCATAGATGATACTGCTTAATTTACATAGATGATACTGGGTAGATACTGATACTGTTTTCATTCTTATATTTCCCCATTAAATCAAATCATTTACCCTGTCAATCGCTTGAAATAATTCAGAATTGAGAATAAAGTTCAACTTTTACAAACTGTTTTGTTCTCTTTTAGTCTATGACTATTGACTTTGAAGAGTTCAAAAGTGGGTAGAAGATGAGGCGATTAGAAAAGAGACCAACGGGTGAAGGGGATCCTAATGAAATTCCACTCTTGGTTAGCCATCTCTCCCATTCACCTCTTCTCTTTTTCTTCTTTCATATCCAACCCCAACACTCTTTTTATTTCATCTCTTTTTTGATATTCTATTCAAATTTCTATATTCAAATCATCTTTCGAAGTATTAAAACAAATCTCTGTAAAGTATTTTTTTATAAATCGAAATCCCCACCTGGTTCTAGATTCTAGACTATGTAATCCAGACAAGGCCAAAGCAACCAATCTAGGCCACCTCTAGTCTAGGCCAGATCCAGTCTAGGCTAGCTCCAGTCTAGGCCAGCTCTAGTCTAGACCAGCTCTAGTCTAGACCAGCTCCAGTCTAGGCCAGCTCTAGTCTAGGCCAGCTCTAGTCTAGGCCAGCTCTAGTCTAGGCCAGCTCTAGTCTGGGCCAGCTCTAGTCTGGGCCAGCTCTAGTCTAGGCCAGCTCCAGTTTTTGTGGCATATAGGCTAGACAAGGCTAAAGCCAGATCAATGCTTACTTGTCACTAGACTTAATCTATCAAAACCCTATCAAAAAATAAAACATTAAAACGCACAAGGTACCGTTGAAGCGATAGAAACTTCCTAAAAGATCTAATAGAAGCGTTTTGATGAACGTTTCGTTTTTTTACGTTTAGTTTTGATAGCCCAAATCTATCTGTCACATCAGAAATAGCTGTATAAATTAGATAAATACAAATTAGACGATAGCTGTACAAATTAGAGTGTGTCCGATTAAATGAAGTCTTCCAAAAGATTGATTGAGATGAAAGAGGAAAAGTGTCAAGTTGGAGAATCAAGCGGTAAGGGGGAAAGGTGGAAAAAGACGGGCGTCGTTTTGCCCCCCTTCTGCAATTTGCAATATAATGTGGGGCTCGTGATTTTTGCGCCAATTTTTTTTGCAAGAATTTTCGCTAAAAGTACGGTCATTTTTCGTAAGCCTGCGTTTTAAAAAAAGGCATTACTCGCGAGGGACACACTCTATCAGAGATCCATTTTTACATTTTTGTCATTTCAAAAGCTTTTTCAACTTCAAACTATTTGTATCTATCGAATATCGAAATTTGATTCTGAATTCTGAATTCTGATTCTGATTTTGATATCGATTCTGATCTTGATATCGATTTTGAATACAATTAAACATCTTTAGGACTCACTGATCGTCAAAAATACGCGAATCAATTTCAAAAGTCAACCGCCTCGCGCGACAACGATCTCCCATTCTCGGCCACTGCTCTCTATCAGGTAAAATCTATTACCATTCTTTTGACGGACCAACTTGACGCTCCGGTCTTCAGCATTAGAGTGTTTCTAGTCGAATAATGATGTTATTGTTGTTATTTATAGATTTGTAGATTTTATTGTAGATTATCAATAACTTTCATTAAATGTTTTATATTTATTTTTTTTTTCTTCAGCAATCATATCGCAACGACGAAGTGGATGCGCTTGTGCAACGGATGAGCCACGGAATGCACACGGCCACCAACTATCGAACGATGATCAGTGAGTTTATAGAAGATGAACAACAATGATAATAACAATTCTAAATTGCTTATTCAACAATAAAAACAATAGACTTGGGATTGGCAAGCCAGAACGGTGCATCAAAAGATTCGGCAAAGATGCTTTGAATCAAATTTTTTCTTCCCTGAATTCACAGCAGAAAATTTGGGGATTCAGGCTAAAATCCTCAAAATCTCCGCGCTCTTCTGGTCTTTCTGAATCTAAATGGGAGAGGAAAGAGAGCCTTTTTCACTCTTTTAGTTCTTTAACCCTTTTACTCCTTTACTCCTTTCACTCTTTTAACTAAGACCCCCAGGGACCCCAGGGACAGGCTCAATCCCAAGACCCAGGCCCGTTAACCATGAAAGAAAGAAACAAGAAGAGAAAAGGTTTCTATTTCTTTTTCGTCTCCAAAAACACTGCACTCTCTCGCTTTGCTAACTTCCTTTGGCTAGCTATAATCATTTTTCTTAAATTCTTGGGATTCAAAGTGAAAAATCGAAGCTGTAAAAAGGAGAAGTTGAAAATAAAAGCAAGAAAAGTTTGATGAAATGAAAAAGTATCTTTATGAAGTTGTGTGTCATAAAACATCGGGAAATTGTTTAAATCTAAATTCTAGCCTAATTCTAGTAAGAATTTATATTCTAATCATTAGAAAACCTACAGGCTTAGTTAGGTTTATTTTTTGCTTAGCTAGGCTTAGCTAGTTTTTTTTTCCCAAGCAACTTGTTCCTTATCTCTCATTTTTGCATCTCTCATCGGAATCAACAATGTATGGGAGGCCATTCGATGGGGAAAAGACAGAAAAAGCTCTTGGATGGATTTAGGCTCTCTGTGTCTCGTTTCTCTCTCATGCCCCTGGGGGCTGGATGGAAAAGAGGAGGTGTGGGCCGGTGCTTCGATCTCTCCCTCTGCCCCTTCTCTGTCCCCCACCGACCCTCCCTGGGGACCAATACTTCCCGCGCTCCCCCTTTTTTTCCCCTTGTCGATTTTTTTTCTATTCTAAACATCACCGGAAATCTGTGCTTCTTGGTGAACGTCATCATTCACTTTTTGCAAGCTCAGAAACTTGTTGAAAGTGATCCCAGCGAACACAGCGATTAGAGAGATGGAACGAGTGCCCGGTTATGGGCCACCACCATGTGAGTTCTTGTTTTGTGATGGGGTGACGAAGGTAGCTTATGGGTTACTGTAGCTCAAAGATTACTATAGCTTATAGACTACTGTAGCTTGCAAATTACTGTAGTACAAAGACTGTAGCAGCTTATAGGTTAGCTATTGTAGGTTATTGTCGGCTACAGTACAGCTTATAGGCTACTGTAACTCAGGGTTACTGTAGCTGATCGATTACTTCATTCACCTAAAGGCAGAGCGGGTTGCAATGAGAATTATATGATTTATGTGGACATTTTCAGAGATACGATATTCTCTCTAATAGTAGTGCACTCTGAGCTTTGTCTTAATTCCTCGAAATCTCGAGAACCGCTTATCAGAACCTATCGATGTGGGGTTGGAAAATGTAGCTGACGATGAGATCTAGTGGAGGATTTGAGTGTTGAGTTTTTTGGGAAAACTTGGAAACCGTAAAATAGTGATCAACTCGGCTCGCCTACTACTATTAGAGAGAATACGGTAGTTAAATTCAAATTTTATCCAAGTACCGATAGTGGAACTACCGTAACTAACACATTCCTTTTTTTGCCTTTTCTTTAGCTCTCAATCAATAAAGCTAGTTTCTCCCGTCTAGTCAAAAGTCTCCTTTTCTCTTCTTTGACAAACCCATTGACTCTCGATGTAATAGCTGATGCAAAGACCACATTTGGGGTGAGTCGAATCCCCCCTTCATCTCAAGACTTTGATGAGTTTTCTTTTTGTTTTTTGGAGACAAAGATGAGGAAGAGATGAAAGTATCCAAATAAATACTTTATTCATTTTGAATGTATTTACTGTTGAACCGGTTGTATGCTTGTTCGTGAAATAGGTACATGAGTCGGTACATGGATCGGTACATGAATCGGTACATGAGTCGGTACATGAATCGGTACATGGATCGGTACATGAGTCGGTACATGGATCGGTACATGAATCGGTACATGGATCGGTACATGAGTCGGTACATGGATCGGTACATGAATCGGTACATGGATCGGTACATGAGTCGGTACATGGATCGGTACATGAATCGGTACATGAGTCGGTACATGAGTCGGTACATGGATCGGTACATGAATCGGTACATGAGTCGGTACATGAGTCGGTACATGGATCGGTACATGAATCAGTGCATGAATCGCTTGCTCATAAATCAAGTACATTAATCGACTTTTGTTTTTAAATAACTAATCAGCTCTCTTAACTCTGGACAGTGGTTAACTTAACAGAGGTTTACAGGAAACAAATCACTCACACTTTTTCTTTTATTGACTCAATAACTTGAATCTACAATTAGCATTTAGCAAAAGAAATTAGATGAAACTGGGTTAATCTAGTTTATATCTAAATAGCCTAGTTATATCTAAATAACTAATTTTATAGCATAAACGTATTGATGCCTTGTGCGGGTATAAAGAATGTTCTCAATTTTCTTTTAACAACCAAAGCTTTTACCCGAATTGTAAACTTGTTGACACTCGATATGCTTGTTCTTTCACTTGATATCTTTCACTAAATTCTCTCCAAACTTCTTTTAATCCCCTCTCACAATTTTGTTGTTTACCCCAAGCACTTTCAAACATAAAATTCAATTCACTTATCAAAAAAATCAGCTTTTTATCAGTATTCTTTTTTCTTTTTTTTTAGTTTTTGCTTGAATCGAAGGGGCTAAATGAACTCGAGGAATCGGAACGAAACGACAACAAATTTAGCCTTTTTAGGCTTTTTAGGCTTTTTAGAGAGTTCGCTTCTAAATTTGGGGGTTTTTTGAGAGAGGAAAAGTTCAATCAAGGAGAGTGCTTTTTGGGTAGAAAGGGAGATGTGGAGAGGCTAAAAATCCCTTTAAACATTCGACTGAAACTGTCGTTTAGGGGAAAATTTGAAGAAATTTCTTTGTCTTCTAAATTTTTGAGGTCTCTTTGTGGATTGATGAACTTTTCTGAAGATTCACGATTAGCTAAGGTTTACGATTAGCTAAGGGTTATTTACTTGTCACTGCCAAATCAAAGCCATAGTCAGGACAGGGCCAAGCCAAGCTCTGGCCTAGCGCTGCTACTGAAAATTTACTCCTAGAACCTGAGCCTGAGCTGGTAGATAAGAATTTTTAAAACAAATACAGTAAAAAGGTGTACAATGACTTTTTTGAACTCAAGCCAACGCTTTTTTTAAAGCTTCAAACTATAAAGAGAGACGATTTTGGCATAGACACAAATCTCATAATCCATTTTTGACCACTCTTTACATCAATCCAGCTTTCACGCTTCACAAACTCAAAAAATAAAAAAAACCCACTTGAAAATTCGAAGTTTCACAAAAAGAAGAAGAAAAAGAAGAAAAAAAAGAAGAAAAGGAAGAAAAAGAAAAAGCTGAAGCAAGCAAAAAAAGCGAAAATAGGCGTGGTTTCAAACTCTCAAAGAAAGAGGGGAAAAGAAAGAAATGAAGGAGTCTTTTCGAAGGGAAAAGAGGGGGAAAAAAGGGGTGGATTGGGGGGAGAATGACTCTCTGACATTTCCATCCTTTGACAACGACTTTGGCCCCGCTCCTTCCCGTTTTCTTCTAGCTTTTATTCAAACCCCCAACAACTAGCCGATTTTCTTTGAAACTCCATTTTTGAAGTCCTCTTTCACAATTTTTATTGCACAATGTCCGACGAGCAACCAGGTTTGTTTAGCGTGCATACTCTAAGCTCCGTTTGGAAGATGCCGGATGAAAAAGTGCTTACATAACTTACATAGTAGCAATATTTTGTGAGCGTATAGTAGCTCCACCCCGGGCGGACACGTGCTACCAATTGGAGGCACTGAAAAGACTTTGAAGGCACTGAAAAGACTTTGAAGGCCTATAAGCGTTTGAACGAGCAATTTTTGAAACTTTGAAACTTCTGTGATTCGATGGGTTATTTAATAAATGAAATTTCTTAATTATCAGTTAAATATCTGAAAAATGGGGAATTATTTTTAAAAAAGATTTGGATCTGGATGGTCATCGATAGCTTTCTTTTGTTTCCTAAATCTCTAAGAGACCAAAAGATTTACAAGCAAAATTTGAAAGTTTTATGAAATAATATGGGAATTGGAATTGAAGATTTGACTCTAGCTCCTCTAAATGCAAATTTGTCGGGCAAATCAACCATTTTCAAATAAACAACTGAATATCTTCAAGCTATTGGCTTTCTAATTGATTTCCTTCTTTATTTTTCTTTTCTTTTTCTTGCTTGTCTTTCTCACTTTCTCTTGACACGTTAAGATACTCAGTGGTTAGAACAAGCTCAGTGGTTAGATCAAGCTCAGTGGCTAGAACAAGCTCAGTGGTTAGATCAAGCTCAGTGGCTAGAACAAGCTCAGTGGTTAGATCAAGCTCAGTGGCTAGAACAAGCTCAGTGGCTAGAGCAAGCTCAGTGGTTAGAGCAAAAGCAAAAGGAAAGCAAGAGGTCGAAGGTTCAATCCCCTCCAGAAATCTAATCTTTTTTTGCTAATTTCTTCACGCCTTGCAAATATCTTGCGACTCTTACAGGCTATTCACTCTTCCATCAACAATGATAGCTTTCTTTTGTTTCCTAAATCTCTAAAAGTTTAAAGATCTGACTTCTAAGTGAATTTTGTGAGTATCAATATCAATCTTACGATTGATATTGATAAACATTACTGATGTCTTTACTCAATTTTATCTCTCTGTGTCTTAAAACTGATCCTCGAACACCCAAAGAGAAAATCAAATTCAAACCGTTCATTTCAATCAAAACCCATGAGCACAGATTGTTTGTTTGTGTGACGGTTTTGATTTTGTGAGTGACGGGAAAGGGAAAAGAGGCAACTCATCTAAGTCAATAACTCTCTTTTGCCACAAAAAAACTTTGCTCGCTTTGATTTCCCCGTATGATTTTTATTGTTTTTTCAGTTCGATGGGAAAATTTGCAGGAAACTTTTGAAGAAACTTCAAATATGAATTCTAAAAGAAATTCTGGAACTGGCAGCTGCAATCTTTGTGCAAGAAACTTCAAACTCTTAGCTCTTTGAGCCAAGCCAATTTATTATAAAATCTTCAATCCAATTCTTTTCTAATTTATCTACTGTTTTATTAAGATAAAAACGCAAAGAACAAACAAAGATTACGGTAGCTTTGTCCATCATTTAGAATACGATCTAGCCGATTTAGAATACTCGATACTCTACCCAAGCATTTCTGCAAAACTCTTAGCTCTTTGAGATTGAGAAGTTTTTTTGAAAAACTTTATGTTAAAAAGCTTTCTAACAAACCACACAAAGTGAAAACTAATCAAAATGCTAACTTTCAAAGCCGAATTTTGGTCTTGACCTCTAGATCTTGAGCCCTAGATCTTGACCTCTAGATCTTGAGCTCTAGATCTTGACCTCTAGATCTTGAGCTCTAGATCTTGACCTCTAGATCTTGAGCTCTAGATCTTGACCTCTAGATCTTGAGCTCTAGATCTTGACCTCTAGATCTTGAGCTCTAGATCTTGACCTCTAGATCTTGAGCTCTAGATCTTGACCTCTAGATCTTGAGCTCTAGATCTTGACCTCTAGACCTTGAGCTCTAGATCTTGACCTCTAGATCTTGAGCTCTAGATCTTGACCTCTAGATCTTGAGCTCTAGATCTTGACCTCTAGATCTTGACCTCTAGATCTTGACCTCTAGATCTTGACCTCTAGATCTTGACCTCTAGATCTTGACCTCTAGATCTTGACCTCTAGATCTTGAGCTCTAACACACAAATTGTAGAAAACTAATCAAAATGCTAACTTTCAAAGCCGAATTTTGGTCATTCGATCCAAAAAAAGCTGGCTAGATTACTGTTGTCTTGTAAAATGCTTTTTAGAAAGTCCATTAATCTGACATTTCCTTTCATTTCCTAATCTACTAGTGCTAAAGTTTTTTTCAAATCTCTTTCTCATCACAAAAGCGTTCCCCTCTCTTTCCCCCATCGCCTTCTTTATGCATAAAATTTCGAAAAGCTGAAGCAATGTGCTGAAAGATAAAAAAACAGGACCGACAATTCTCTTCTCACATTCTTCTCTATCATCATCAAACATAGGCGCTGTTTATCAAGGTGTTTCACCAGGGAAAAGAAGAGAAGACAAAATTCCCCTTTTTTATCTAATGAATCACCGATTTTTCATTTTATGGGAACGTCTCGATTTTAAGAATGATAAATGTTAATTTGGAAAAGATAGGGAATTGAATTGTTGGTGATTTGAGAGGGAAATGGTGATGCACATTGAAATGATGATGCACATTGAAATAGAGACAATTAATCTGTCTTACCTAGAGCAATGAAATCATAGTTTCTCTAGAGTTTACAAGATATCCTTTAACTTAAAGAATTTATGAGAAAACGGAGAGGAAACTCTAGATGTTAAGCTCTAGATGTTGAGCTCTAGATGTTGAGCTCTAGATGTTGAGCTCTAGATGTTGAGCTCTAGATGTTGAGCTCTAGATCTTGACCTCTAGATGTTCAGCTCTAGATGTTCAGCTCTAGATCTTGACCTCTAGATTTTGACTTCTAGATCTTGACCTCTAGATCTTGACCTCTAGATGTTGAGCTCTAGATGTTGAGCTAAGCTTCTGTGTTCTGCCTAGAATTGTTAGAAGCAGCTCAAAAGTATTCAGATCAATATAAGCCATAAGCCAACAAGCCAATAAAAGCAATAAGCTCTTTTCCCGTATCGATTTAATCCATGAGCTTCTTTTTGTTTTTAATTTTTTCATATCTTGCCTCTTTTGATCTCATTGAAGTGTCAGAAAGTGTAAATCGTTTTTTTTTTGGGCCAATCTTTTTAAAGCGAGAAAAACATCTCCTCTTTTGATCTCTTTTCTTTTGAGTCAGCTGCTTGAACTCTCTCAAATCACTTCACTAGATTTCCCCAATTCAAATCCCAAACAAACGATTGATCATTTTCTCAAAGAAATCTATGACGATTAGAAAAAAAAAATTGGTGAAATTGTTGATGTTGATCAGAGTTTTAAGAGAGTTTCTCCTTTTCATTTTTGATTCAAAAAAGCTATATAATTATAATTATAACTATAACTATAAGATCTAGAATTTGAATCAATGAATCAACTTTTGAATCAACTTTATGTCAGCCTGTTGGATCACATAGCCATGATCTAATAGAAAACTTTTGAATCAACTTTTGATCAACATCAACATTTGAATCAACAATTACCCTTTCTTCAAATTGTCACCATTCCACTCTATTGTGGCTTTTAGCAGAAATTTCAGAAGAAATCTAGAGAAAAAAAACAGCATTAAATGGGTCCATAGTGGGATTTTCTTTTCTTCAAAGCAGAAGCAGAAAAAGCTTTCGTTTTTTTGAATCGAAAAGGAAAAAGGAGAAATGAGGACCTCTAGGGGAAGGGGGAGCCCTGGGGAATCGAAATGGCTGATTGCGAGTGGGAGGAAGAGCCGAAAAAGGATGGTCTCTGAAAAATAAAAACATGAAAAGAGGGAAACAACTCGAAACACCCAAAAAGTGAGAAAATCCCCCAAGCTAAACAAAATTTAATGTTTCATTGAAAACTTTGAAGATGATTGAGTTTATGTCAGCCTGTTGGATCACATAGATCTAATAGAAAACTTGACACTTGCAGAAATACTTGGGTAGAGTATCGAGTATTCTAAATCGGCTAGATCGTATTCTAAATGGTGGACAAAGCTACCGTAAACTTTCTTTGTTCTTTGCGTTTTTGTCTTAATAAAACAGTAGATAAATTAGAGAAAAATTGGATTGATTTTGCTATAAATTGGCTTGGCTCAAAGATCTAAGAGTTTGAAGTTTCTTGAACAAAGTTTGCAGCTGCCAGTTCCAGAATTTCTTTTAGAATTCATATATGAACTTTCTTCAAAGATTTCTGCAAAGATTTCCCGTTTTTTGTTTGGGATTTTGGGTGAGAAGGATTTTGTCTTTGTTTGAATGGGCATCGATGGAATAATTCCCGAGGGGTTGGCTTTAGAATAAGGAAGGCAAAGGAAAGAGAAAAGAATGGGAAAGGAATCGAAAAGAAAGAGAACGATTTTCATTCCAAGAAAGGTGCAAAAAAACGACAACGATCTAGCCGAAAAACTGAAGATTTACTAGAATTGGAAAGAGGAAATTTGGGGTGGAAATGACTCTGGCTTTTATTGGGTTCTAAACCTAAAGAGGTCTAGTAAAAATGAAATAAAAACTGTTAAATGTTGGATTTTTTCGTCTTGGCTGATGGAAAACTGATATCAATGAATAGCTGAATGAATGAATGAATCAATTAATATGTCACAGTCGCTAGTGATTGAATTACTAGCGACTAGCCGTTGGTGATTCAATCACTAGCGGCTGAAAATCACGAGCGGCTGCGACAAATATATATATATATATATATAATAGTATTGAACAGTCAGTGTTGGCTCTAGATTCGTAAACCTGAATCAACTTGATCTACGAATCTCAAGCCACTAAAATTCACCTAAAAGTATGCTTTTCTTTAACTGAATATCTTTTGAATTATAGAAATTTAATGACTTGAAGATTTGAAGACATTTAAGACACTAAAGTCTTAAGACTTAAGTCGACATTGGTGATGATACAGTACTGGACAATGAAATATCATCTTTGAAAAAAGATCGTCACTTTCGCACGTCTGTAACTCCATTGTCTTTAAGTTTAAACTATTAGTGTTATATATTTTCTGAAAGCTCTTTTCAAGGGCTACACAATGATAATATTAATATTTAGAAATACGGTAAAGACAAGGGAGTTACAGACGCGCGAAAGTGACGATCGTTTTTCAAATATCATATTTCATTGTCCAGTAGTGTAGCTTTTAGCTATAAAAGTTTGAAAAAAGAGTTTTCTTTTATTCTTATTGCTATTAAATGATATTAAACGTTATTTTCTTACGAAATAAATATCGAGAAAACTCTTTAACAATTTTTTTTTATTAAGAAAAATGCCAAAAACGGCAGACCAAATGGCAGAGGCCTGAGCTCATTCAAGAGCTTGTAAAATGAGTTGTATAATTCCAATCGGGAAACTTTTAATAGATAAATGTAGCCAAGATTAAGGGCTTTATTTTCCTATATAGCCCTTGGCACTTCGGTGATAAGACAGGCGTTCCCAACTTTTCATTATCCAGTAGTGTAGTTGATTGAAAGATTCTAGCATAATTCCTTAGCTAAACCTAAAACAAAGTTGTATAATATTTGCGTACAAATTTTTGAGATAAATAATAAAATGCTGAATAAATGTAAAAAGAATTTCAGATATCTGCTCGGTTTGCAATGAAGAAGTGACGAACGAAAGACCCGGTTGCACGGCAATGGAACGCATCTATCATGTCGCTTGTTTCAAATGCAAAAAGTTTGTCACTTTAAATGTTTTCCATAAGCTCGTAGATCGTCGTTTCTTTTAAATCCCAGTACTCTTTAAGATGTGGCAATCAATTAGCCGGCTCGTCTTTCTACAATGTCGACAATGAGGCGCTTTGTGAAGCTGATTATCAAGTGAGTGAAAAAGAAATATAAACTAGAAACTAGTACTTAGTACTTTTAGAGTCACAGTACTACTCTAAACATACTTGAAAGTTTACTCTGCGCTCAGAAATATGGACACACTCTTTGTAGGAACTAAATACGAACTATCGTACTAGTACTTTTAGTATTGCATTCGGTTTCTTTTTCTTTGGAAAAATGTCGTTGAACAATGAGAAATTTAGTGCATCAGAAGGATGCGTTTTCATTTTTGACCAAAAACCGACAAAACATTGTTTTCAACCAGCACATTAGTACTTTAAAAGTACACTGTAAAGTAAACAAAAGTAATATTTCGATATCGATAATCGATATAGATAATCGATATCATTATCTTTATCGTTCTTGATCATTTAGGCAAGCCTTGAGCGATGCACGAAATGCGGTCAATCGATCGCCGATCGTTTGCTTCGCGCTTGTGGCGGCACTTTCCACACGAGTTGCTTCACATGCTCTGTTTGCGATGTTTGCCTTGATGGGGTGAGGTTTTTAAAAAAAGCTTTAAAAAGTCTTAACCTATTTTCTATGCACCCAAAACTATCAGCATCAAATTGCCAGTTTATCAGCCCAATTTTGGTGGCATTGACATCGATCTTTTGGCTTAGGCCAAATTAGGTTGAATGAAGTCTTTTCAATCTTTTCAAATAAAAACTAGCAGCCTGCTTATGGTAGCTTTTTAGAAATAGATAGAAAACAGCTGTAGATTGGATTTAAAACTCGAAAAGTTCAGGTTCCATTCACGGTCGATCCGGAAAATCACGTTCATTGTGTGCCTTGCTATCATCAGTGAGTCTTTTTAAGCTATGAAATCTTTTTTTGTAAATGTAATTTGATTGAATATCTATTGAAGTATCTATTGAGATATCTTTAAATAAATAATTTTAGACGTTACGCTCCTCGTTGTGCCGTTTGCACAGCTCCAATCGTGCCTCGAGAAGGAGAAAAGGTTGGTGGCTGGGGATCTAGTGACAAAAACAATAATATTATTATGTATTCAAGATAGAAATCTTTTAAAAAAAATTATAAAGTTCATCAAATAAAATTTCCAGGAAAGCGTTCGCGTTGTGGCCATGGAGAAATCTTTCCACCCGGAGTGCTATCGGTGCGAGGATTGTGGATTGCAACTCTCGAGCAAGGTAGTACTCTCGTACTCTCTCGTACTCCCTCGTACTCTCTCGTACTCTCTCGTACTCTCTCGTACTCTAGTACTCCCGAGCATCATTGTAGCAAAGATTCAGAGTTGTTTAACTCTAAATTGAATAGTCGACTTGGTTATCGGACATTTGATGCACGCCCTGCTCTTTTGCCATTGGCTAATCTTTGAGCTCAAATTTCTTGGTGTTCGGCTGTCCAATTGAAATATTTTTGGTATCATTAGATTTGCCAAGTCTTTCTCTATCGATTGGTACAAAAACTATTTCAATTGAACAACCAAACACCAAGAAATTTGAGCTCAAAGTTAGGCCAATGGCAAAAGAGCGGGGCGCGTATCAAATGTCCCACAATCAATTCTATCCATATCTTTAGCTAGTCTAGATTGTCATTCTAGGTTAACGGTACCGGAATCCAAGAGCTTACCGGTTATTAGTACTACAGTGCTCGTCCGTAGCACTACAATAACCTGGAATATAGTACTGGACTGAAGTACAGTCAAGTCTGGAATACAATTCCTAAAGTCACAAGAGTTAAAGTTTAAAAGATTTAAACCCGCCACTGTTCTTTGCACGCATTCAAAATGTAAACGCATCCTTTCTGGCGTACTCGATTTCTTTCAATTCTCATCCTTTCTTTGAACGAAAAAATCATTTAGATCGAAGGTCAAGGCTGCTATCCAATCGATCAACATCTCCTCTGCCGTACCTGCAATTCAAATCGACTGCGACTTCTTTCCAGCACCTAATCAATATCGGCTTACTGCAGCTTTTCCCATAAATTAGACACATCTCTCTCTCTGAATACAATACCGTAAGATCACTTATCGGATTTTTATATTTTTATGCGCTTTTTTTTGTGTTTCGCTGAGAATTTCGCTGAAAATCTTGTAGTTTTTTCTTTGAAAATGGAGAAAGATTAGAGAATTTTAGAACTTTTTACATAAAATCTGACTCCATTTTCCTTACAAATTCCCCCTATTTATAGAACGGTGAGGCGTTTTTTTTGACCGTAGTTTTTCCCAAGAAAATATTAAAGCTTGCAATACTAAAATACAATACTACAATTCTTTTTTTTTCTCTTCTCAATATGCCTATAGAAATTTTGATTTCTTTTGTTTACAATTAGCTGAGAATTTCCCCCCGCTTAGACACCCCCTAAATGCTGCCATGTTTTTTTTTGTTTTGTATCGTAATTTGTCAAGAATTTTTTCTCTTCGTAGATTTTTCTTATGAATTTCTTTCTCTCTTTTCTGGCAATAAATAATCGATCGAAGTGCTTAAAAAGATGAAAAAAGCACAAAGGCAAAAGCAAAGCGCCAAAAAATGGCTTCTTAACGAATTTTGGCAAAAGCACAAAGGAAAAAAGAAATAAATGAAAATTTGCAATGTAAAAAAATGAAATGCCAATTCGCATATAATTTTAACGTTAACGATAACGTTAAAGACGTTAACGTTTAAAAATTCGTTAAGAAGCCATTTTTTGACGTTTGGCCAGATTGCATTACTGCTTTCAGAAAGTTTCAGAAGTTTTCAACAAATAAAAACAGAAACAAATACCGTAAATACTCTAATAGAAGCTTCTATTTGCTTAACAATCAACAAAACAACATTGATTTAAACATAAAAACAGATCAATGACCAATGACAGGCCAGTGATCAATCAGTCAAAGAGTTGCATCAAACAAAGACGGAAATCTATTTACGTGAGGATAAAACTCAACGGGTACTTGGAGGAAGGATGGGAGCATCTTCGTGAGAATGGATCCAGTGATCAATCAGTGAAGGAGTTGCATCGAGCAAAGACGGAAATCGATCGACGTGAGCATAAAGCTCAACGGATACTTGGAGGAAAGATGGGATCATCTTCGTAAGAATGGATCCAGTGATCAATCGATCAATCAGTGAAAGAGTTGCATCAAGCAAAGACAGAAATCGATAAAACTCGAGACAGCAAAAATGGCAAAGGAACTCTTCATCAGCTCTGCTGCTGCAAAGCAAACGGCGAAGAAGACGATTTGATTCAATGTTTCAAGGCCGACGGCGCAATTCCTAAAGCGATGCGTCTGAATCAATAAATTCATCGACTCCTTCTTGATTATCAAGTTCGCAGAATTCCAGGAGTCGTGTTTTTGGATTGGAGTGGCCCCAGAAGATCATTGATTTCTTTCTCCACTCGAGCGTCTTTTAGCAGCTGCAGCCCAGCTTGAAACACTGAAACAAATCGTCTTCTTCACCGTTTGCTTTGCAGCAGCAGAGCTGATGAAGACTTCTTTTGCCATTTTTGCTGTCTCGAGTTTTATCCTCACGTCGATCGATTTCTGTCTTTGCTTGATCGTGTTCAACTCCTTCACTGATTGATCACTGGATCCATTCTCACGAAGATGCTTCCTCCAAGTACCCGTTGAGTTCGCGTTCGCTTCGATCTCGAAATTCTTTAAATCCATCTAAGCTTTCTCGATCGTTCATCGTATCTAAAAAATAAGATTATAATTCGAAAATAAGTATGAAATCTAAAAGAAACTGACAAAAAAAAAGAAAAAGGGTGTGGCGTGGTTATTCAATAAATTTTATGTTTAAATTTAAGTTTAGAGATTACGATTAGTATATATAAGAAAAATTCAGTTGAAAAAAAGGCATATAAAGTAGCAAAATGTTAGAAAGATGTCTAAGGGTAGAAAAAGAAGAAAAAAAGTTAAACAAAATGAGGGTTTTTGCGTAAGGAACAAACTACAAAACGGAAGAATGAATATAATATAAATGAGCTTTCTCATGAGCATGATATTCAGTCAAAGGATGTGCTTTTATTAGAGTATTCACGGTAAGTGGTATTTACGGGAGTGGGACAAATGCTACCTTTTTTTGCGCACCTTTTTTTCCGCACCTTGCCCATTAGCGCACCTTTTTTCGCGTTTTAAAAAAGCTCTAAAAAGCTAATATTAACCAATTTCCATTCCAAAAGTTGTTTTTCTAGGTAATTTTAGGGCGTAGAATCGAAATTTTGACATATCAGAGCTTGTGGAAACAAACGGACGGAGTTATACAAAGAGAAAAATTGACAATTTGTAATTTTCTGTAATTTGATCTAGCCGTTTTGTCTTTCAAATTGGTTCCACACACTCTGATATGTCAAAATTTCGATTCTACGCCCTAAAATTACCTAGAAAAACAACTTTTGGAATGGAAATTGGTTAATATTAGCTTTTTAGAGCTTTTTTAAAACGCGAAAAAAGGTGCGCTAATGGGCAAGGTGCGGAAAAAAAGGTGCGCAAATGTCCAGGTGCGCAAAAAAAAGGTCGCATTTGTTTGGTCGCATTCTCCCGGTATTTACGGTTCTATTTTTGTGAAAATTTAGAAACTTTTTTAATGAGCTAGCTTTAGAAAAGTGTTTGAGATCGCTGTATACATAGATGTCAACAATCAAAGGATAATCAGAGGCTAAATGACTTGACGAAGTGCGACGAAACGGGATTTGTGGCTGTTTTAATTTCCCGCACAGGTGTCCTGGGGATAAATGGTTAATTGGTGGGTGATCGAGAATTTCGAATAAAGAGAGGAAATGGATCTCTGGGGAAAAGAAAGAGGAATACCAAGAGAGAAGCGGGAAAATGCAAATGGGGACACCATGGTGACACTCTCGCTATTTAAAGCTCCAATTGAGCAGAACTTTTTCTAAGATATCTTTTGATATTCAAGTTTTACTTTATATTTTAAAGTTTATTTTATAATGTGGTCGATTCAAGACCCGAAAGACCCGTGGGCATGGAGGAATACGTGGACTGGAGAGGTGAGACAGACAGACAGAGTAGAGTCTTTTCTAAATGTTCTAAGTGTCTAACTTTAAGCGCTTCGTTCTTAGCACCATTTTATGCTATAGTATTCATTTGTATTTTAAAAGATAGCCCTGAATCTCAGCTATATTTTGACACTAAAGAAAAATATGAGAAAATATAAGCGAAAATAAGAAATTTGAAATAAATATGAGTGCATGGGGAATTTCAGATTCGGAACAGTTATGATGATTTATGGATCGTGATTCCAATCATAGGTGAGTTGAAAGGTTTAGATTATCATTTAATTTCGATTTTGATTTTGATTCCAGTTTTGGTTACCGTATTCGCAATGCTTTTCCTTATTCCGATTCTTATTCATCGCTATTGTCCGCATTGTTTTCCGGGAAGGGTATGTGAAAGTTTTATGAGTTATTTTCATTACAACAAAGTTGATCAAGTTCAAGTTCAAGTTCAAGTTCAAGTTCTCCAAATTCTGTTTCAGGTGTGGTGTCGTTGGTTTGAGAGTCTACTCTTTGTACTCGGACAGATCAGTCGGGAAAAAGAGGAGAAACGAATCGAAAGGAAAAGGTTTGAGGAAATGAAAGAACCTATTTTCACTATTTTAGCTATTCTTTTGCTCAAATCTTTATCTTTATCTATAAATCGTTGTTTCAGACCAACGAGAGCTCATCCGAGAGCCCACTCAGCACCGAATTTCCATGATCATGTTGAATACGGTGTTCCACACTCAATCCCGATCAAAACTGAGTCACCGCCACAATATCAAAGGTGATTTGAAAATTTTGAATGATTTAGTAACTATAACAGAGATTTGAAAAGAAAGCCAAACGTATTACTACTGTAATTTTTCAAAACTGTAAAACTATAGCGTACTGTAGCGCTGTAGTCAACGTGTCGATTAGACTTGTGTTTCGGTTGGCTCTTTTCAGTTCGGTTTCGGTTTCGGTTCAACCCAAGTCAACCAAAAGATGAGTCAGACGAAAAGATGAGTCTTTCGGTTTGGTTCGGTTAACCGAAACCGAAACCGAACCGAAAAAGAACGTTTCCGGTTCAACCGAAACACAAGTCTAGTGTCGATGTCGAACAGTTGAGCAAAACTATAGGATGACGAATTATAGCGATAACTTTTTAGAAAAGTAGCTCGGAAATGTCGAATTTATTTCAAAAGCGGCAAATGTTATGTAGAAAATTGTTAGCTCTAATTCTCGGTAACATTTATCTATCTCGATTGGACTTATATAACTGAATGAGCGCTAGTCGACATCTCTCTGGCGAATCTGTCATTTGACCGTTTTTCTCTATTCAAAAAAATAGAAGACTGGTCTTCTAGTAAAAACGGTAAAGCAAATCGGGTTTTTGGTAGATAAATATTGCCGAGAATTAAGGCTATAATTCTCTATATAACACTGGACACTTCAGTTAGAAATTTGCCAGATACTTTTCTAAAAATTTGTCACTATAAGTCGCGGTGTATAAAAAACATTTCATTTAGCTTATCCTCCGTCCGACCGTCACTCTATCAAGAGCCATTTGAAGTGATTAAGAGATATTCACAGAGACGACCAAGGAAAAGAGCACGATCGGAGAATCGACGAGGGAAATCGAGAAGAAGGATCGACAAACATCACTCGATTCCACCATTGCATTTCAAATAGCTGCCATGGCTGATATATATGGCTGACTGGCTAACAGTTCTGTATCTTAGTCGAAAGGTCAAGGGTTCAATCCTGCCGGTTCTTTTTCCCATATACCGTATTCTCTCTAATAGTAGTGCACCCCGCCGAGCTGATGACTATTTTACAGTTTCCAAGTTTTCACAGAAGCTAAGCACCCTAATCCCCCACTAGATCTCATTGTCAGCTACATTTTCCGACCCCACATCAATAGATTCTGATAAGCGGTTCTCGAGATTTCGAGGAATTAAGACAAAGCTCATAGTGCACTACGATTAGAGAATCCCGTATATGGATTCTTCTACATTTAGCGGCTGTGCTTGTGTATTGTTTGTACCAAATTATTCGTGTAAATAAATGTATTTTTATTTATAGAAATAGATTAAAAAAAAAACATTTAATGCATAGCCAGTATCCAGAAATACTCCGTTTCCTTTCCACTCATAAATTTACTGTCCACTAATAAGAAAGCAATGAATTTAAAGAAGTACAAGTACAGGAATGAAAAAGTACATAAAAAGTTTCCAAAAATTTCAAAATTCCCTTGAAATTCTTTAAATTCATTGCTTTCTTATGAGTGAGCAGTAAATTAATGAGTGGAAAGGAAACGGAGTATTTCTGGATTCGAGATAAGAAATGGGAAAGAGAAGAGAAAAAGAAGAAAAAAGAAGAATTCCCCTTTTCCTCCAAGCCTTCTTTATTAATCAATATCACAGCTTAGCCACTTTTCCGGATACTACTGAAATTTTATTAGAAATTTTTTTGGTGTTTTTTTATTTCTCCGATTGAATGTCCAGATTTGCGGACAGCTCTTCGGAGGGATCGATGTGGAGTTTTCTTTCAAATCTCGAATAGATTCTCTTCCTTTAAACTATACATCAATCTTTAAATTTGGAAACTATAAAGGGACTATAAAGGAACTATGAAGGAACTATGAAGGAACTATGAAAAGAAACGCTTATGAAGGAACTATGAAGGAACCATGAAGGAACTATAAAGGAACTTTAAAGAACCAAACAGGAACTATAAAGGAACTAAATAGGAACTTTAAAGGAACCAAATAGGAACTATAAAGGAACTATAAAGGAACTTTCAAAGGAATTCAAATAGGAACTTTAAAGAACTAAATAGGAACTATAAAGGAACTTTTTTAAAGGAACTATAAAGGAACTAAATAGGAACTATAAAGGAACTTCAAAGAAACTAAATAGAAAACTTTGAAGAACCAAATAGGAACTATGGAAAGAAACTTCTTCAAAGGAACTATAAAGGAACTATAAAGGAATTCATAGCATTCAGCATTTTCATAAAAATATTTTTCGTTTTTTTGACTGACTGATTAACATCTCCTTAGAAAATCGATTCGATTAGAGTGAGTGCGATTTCGTACGACGTCCTTTGATTTTGACGGTGATGCGGAGAAAATCGGCGGATTACGATATTTACTAAGTTTAGGCTGTTCAATTGAAATGTTCTTGGTGTCATTAGATCTGCCAAGTCTTTCTTATCGATTGGTACAAAACTATTTCCAATTGAATAGACAGACGCCAAGAAAATTGAGCTTCAAAGTTGAGCTGCCGATGGGAAAATGGTAATAAATGTCCTACAATCCGCAAGCTAGTGAGGCGAGAATAGCTGAGTCGGTGGCCAGTCGAAGGCCAAGCCAAGCTTCTCGCAGGCTAAGCTGCTTCGCAGGCCAAGCCAAGCTTCTGGAAGACCAAGCCACTTCACGTGGCAACGGGGGGCTGAAGGCCAAGCCTCAAGCTTCGGGAAGGCCAAGCTTCGGGCAGGCCAAAAGCCAAATCCGGCTTTGCAGTAAAGCCAGAACAGACAGGACCAGAAATCAGGAATTTACTTCTAAAATAGCGATCTTTCATTTGATTCTAGCGTCTTGTAAGTCCAGACTAGAATAGCCGGCCCAGAGCTGTGGTCAGGCTTCTGCAAGCTCAGCCACTTTTGGTAAACCGACTGCAGCAATATCGTGCTTCAAAAAAGCAAGAACCTTGTTTGGTCAGGAAAACTGTTTTGGGAAAGCTTATAACTTATAACCAGGTTAAAGTGATAACCAGTCAATCCTAAGCCTCGGGTATTGGGTTTAATTTCATCGGCGCGTGCACAGCGGCGATCATTTACCAATTAATAAATGTGAGTTTGAGAAAAACGACGAAAAAAAAACCGTAAAGTTTTAGCGGACAAGGGAAAACGTCAAAACATACCGAGAACCACAATTCGGATTTTTGCCGGTCGATTTTAAATCAAATGGGAAACGGAACGCTGAGTGTTTACATCAGAGATCGGACAACGATACGATAAAAGCATTGATAAAATATTAAAAAACTTGAACTTTGAGTTCTTCTGATTCAATGATTCAAAAAAACACTTCAATTCAATGATCACAAAAATTCAGCCAACCTTCTCAGTGCCTATTCGATGGATTCAAGAAGCTGATAATAAACGATTGATGTACAGGTGCAAAAAAGATCAGCTTAAAGCTTAAAGCTTAAAGCTTTTAAATCTTTTAAATCTAATACTTTGATCGAAAAGCTCTTCTAAGTATTAGATAATATATTGAAATAGCCGATAATAGGTGCCAAAAAAGATTACTTTAAAGCTGAAATCTTTTAAAGCCCTTTAAATCTTAAATCTTTAAATCTAATACTTTGATCGAAAAGCTCTTCTATCTATTAGATAATATCTTGAAAAAAATCTCTGAAAATGCTCAATCGATTGATTGAACAAAGTTCTTTCTTAGAGGTGAAGCTGGGCATCCAAACGTACACTCTTATGCCGAGGCTGATGTCGGCTACAATGAGACTGCGACGGTTAGCTTTGAAGTTTCATTTGAAGGAAGAAATTTTTAGGATGCGCGAAAGTAGCCGGGTTAACTCATGATTCGTTTATGACTTCAGTGAGTGAAAAACCATAAATACATCAGAGGTTGCTTTCAGATTGCTTTTGATGTTCAATTGCGATGGTCAGAGCAAGTGAAGAATAGCGAAAGTGAAGAATATGAGGATGTTTGTTTTTTAAAAAAGTTCAGCTGCTAGTTTTCTAGTTTTTTTGTAAAACATTGTAAGGCTTTTTGATCTTGAAAAAATTGATTGCTCATTGAGCTGAGCTATTGAGTTTGAGCTATTGAGCGGGGGGGGGGGGATCCATTGATCTAATCCATCGATCTTAACTATCGACCTTGACCTATTGATCTTAATCCATTGATCTTGAGCCATTGGATCTGATCCATTGATCTTGATCCATTGTTCTTAGCTATTGATCTGATCTATTGCTCAGAAAGATGGGGATCTTGGTGCTTTCATTGACTACAATTGACTACATAATCTACAGTATTCAAACACCAAAATAGAAATTTGACTCCAAATGAAATAGATGACTACAGACAGAGTACGGTAACTCTGTACATTCTTTTCGGTAACACCAATATCTGCCAGCTTTTTAGGTGGCTCGTTTACGAGGGAGAACCGAACTTAAACTGTTCTTTACTTGTGGAGAGAAACCGGGTCTCATTCGAGCCGGACACCAACAAGCCAAAGTAAACAAGAATCGACTTTTTGAAACAATAGAATCCAAAACCTATTCTCAAAATAAGTTAAATTTCCAGATTTTGTCATGGGTTTCGATGTTGTCTTCCTCTCCAAATCGAGTCTATTCCAAGTGAGTGCAAAGAAAAGCACTATTCTCAAAGCTTATGAAAATTAGAGTCTGTAGTGCTTAGGTGTCAATGCTATGTTTATGCCAAAGCTATTTTGCTTCAGTTTATGCCTTCAAGAACTACTAGTCCGTTTCCTTTTTTGAGCTATTTTTTTGCATTTTTCGGTTAGAATTAGACTAATCTTGATATTAGGTTGGAAAGAAAGTTTAAAAATCCTGGAAGAGTTCAAAGAAGTTCAAGACTTCGAAGTACTTTTGAACCACTTTTTGAACGTGAATAACTCAAGCCAATCTTTGAACCGAATCCCCTGACTCTCTTTATCCATATTTCTTTATATTTACATACGATACCCCTAAAGTTAGATTATATGATATTAGGGGTTGGAAAAAGAAAGTTTGTAGAAAAAGTCGGTACAGATTTGCACAGATTTCTCAAAAACCAAAGCGGGTGCTTCCCAAATTACATTAATTTCTAGATTCTAGGATTGCTGTTTACTAAATTTGATACTCCAAAAATCGATTGCAATAAGAACTCGATCATCAAATTACGCCAAAGTCAGATCCTAATAGGTTAGAAAGAAAGTTCGTTAGTTTAGAAAAGAGTTTCTACAGTGATTCTCAAAAAATCCAAGCCATCAATTCTTCTTAAATTTTTCGTTAAACTTGGATATATTTCAAAAAGTTTTGCACAAAAAAAATAAGATTTTCTTCAGCTGAGTTTCACTTTAGGAGCGGTCAGCCTTTATTTAAGTTTTAAATGCAAGAATAAATAGGCAATTGGTCTCATTCAAAATCAAAATCAAATACTTAAAATAGGAAAAATTTATGTTAAGACAAATTTTATCTAATGCTTCAAACTTTTCAGAATCACCTATTTTAGCAAACACTCAGTGACAAGAAGATGACAATGAAACAATGATTTTTAGAAATACAGCTTCTCTGTAAGAGGAATTTTGGTCAATAATGGAGATTATAGAGAGTATTGCTCATTTATACTAGTATTTCGGAGTACTTTCTCCAACTTTATATAAATAAGTACATTGTACAAATATGAGATACTAACAACGAGATTCTTACAGTAGTTTTCGGTTATAAATAATTTGAAAGGGAATGATCAGGAGCAGTGCGACAGAGCAGGGATTCAAGTGCAGAGCAGTGGGATCAGAGCCAATTGATCGCAGGGATCGGCAGGGGATCAGAGCCAGTGATTCAGAGCCAGTGATCAGAGTCAGTGATCTGAGGATCAGAGCTAGTGCAGAGCTAGTGATCTAGAGCTAGCGTGGATTCAGAGGCTAGTGATCTAGATCTAATGATCTAATAGGTTGGATGCATGTAAGTGTTTGTTCCTTTCCGTCTGCCGTTTGGCCAACAAATGCACCAATTAAACTACGGTTGATTTCATTAGAAAAACTAATTATTTTTCTGCAAAATAACATTAAAACGGGTTGAAAATATTTATGTCTGGACTTTCTGAGAGTAGCGAAGTCGGGTAGTCAAAAAGGGGGCTCGATGATGCGGTTTAGACACCTTAGCTAAAGAAAACCTATCTTCGTGTCAATAGATAAAAGATAGAGAAAAAAAAGTTTGATATTTCTACAAAAATTTCAGAGAAATTCATTCAGCCAATTTTTCCGTAGAGTTTTTTATAGATTTACGCAAAAAGGTACTACTGAATTTGCTTGAAAGTTAAACTGAAATTGATTTAAAAAGATGCAAATTGAACAAAAAAACACTTTTTTAGTAGAGCAACCGAGGATTAATTGGTGAATTTGTTACTTTTTAACAGAAAGGAAAAAAACGAAAAGATCTAGGCATCAACCTAATAGATTCAATGCTCTAGATCTAATGCATCAGATCTAATGTTCTAGATCTAATGTTCTAGATCTAATGTTCTAGATCTAATGTACTGGGATCTAATGTTCGATCAATGCTGATCTACGCTCTGATCTAATGTTCTAGGGATCTAATGATCTAGATCTTAATGATCTGGAACCAATGATCTAGAACTAATGATCTAGAACCAATGATCTAGTAAGTGCAAATTTTAACCCTGAGAACCCTTTTGCAACTTGCAGAGCTGTTAAACGGATTCCGACATGACACACAACACAGAAAAGTGTTCTCGATTCATCCTCAACTCGGTTCGACGAATTGATCTTATTGAAATTGATCCGAATTTTTATATGTTTTTTTAATTAGGTTAAAAATAAAGAATTCTCTTTATTCACACAAAAATCCACTACCTGAAAAGGAACTCACAAATGAAAATAAAGAAAGAAAGAAAGAAAGAAAGAAAGAAAGAAAAAGAAGAAGAAAGTTTGAAGCCACAAAATGACCGGAAAAAAATCTCATTGTCAGTACTCATTCTCCAAAAATGAACGTTTCGGTGAAAATTTGAAACCTTTTTTTTTTTTTTTGGGGATTACGTACTAAATGACATTCTGTCGGAAATGGGAAATATAAAGAAAAGAAAAAAAAGAAAAAATTCTATACAAAAAAATAAAGTAATAACACAAATTCATTCCCGGATTGATGTAAAGAAATGGGGATCTTGTGTGTCAAGAGAGAAGAAATCACCATTTGCGAAAGAAATTTCAAAACTTTAATGGAATGCGAACCATTTTGGCCACACGAATCGCTTGAGCTTAGTCACGAAGCCGCCGTAGTAGTCCTGGAAATGGAAATCGTTTTATTCATTTAACTACATATGAGAAGTTCGGCTGTAATTTGCTTGAAAAATTGAAACATTTACTTAATGGCGTAGTAAATCTTTTCTTTAAAATGACTGGGCCAGAAAGGTGGATTCATACTTTTGAGGAAAAAGAACAAATAAAGAGATGCACAAAGTAAAACAGAGCTGTTTACTGTAGTTGAGCTATAGTTAAGTTGGTTAAAAGTCAATCTAGTAAAGCAAAGCGTAATAGAAATCGATTTCTCTTTTATTCTTTGATTACAGTAAAATTTGCTTCTATTCTTTAGATTTATTGATTCCCTTTAGTTTCTTTAGATTCCTTTAGATTCTTAGTTTCCTTAGTTCCCTCTAGTTTCCTTTAGTTTCCTTTAGTTTCCTTTAGATTCCTTTAGTTTCCTAGTTTCCTTTTAGTTCCCTTCCTAGTTTCCTTTTAGATTCCTTTAGTTTTAGATTCCTTTAGACTCCTTTAGTTTCCTCAGATTCCTTAGATTCCTTTAGTTTCCTTTAGTTCCCTCTAGTTTCCTTTGTTTCCTTTAGTTCCTCTAGCTCTCTTTAGTTTCTTTAGTTCTCTAGTTTCCTTAGATTCCTTTAGTTTCCTTTTAGTTTTTTAGATTTCTATTACACTTTGCTTTGCTAGTCGACTTTTAACCAACTTTCTTAATTTATAGCTCAACTACAGTGAACCGTCACTTTACTGTGTTTCACTTTGTGCATCTCTTTGTGTACTTTTCCTCAAAAAAAAGTATGAATCCACCTTTCGGGCACATTCATTTAGAAGAAAAAAGATTTACTACGCCATTAAGTAAATGTTTTCTAATTTTTAAGCCCAAATTACCGTCGAACTTCTACAACGACCTTCTAGGATAACGATTTGAAATTCTAAAAGGTGTCCCTTTAATTTCTGCGTAGTTGACCTCAGTTAGGTCCAATCGTTGTTCGGCACAGGCGAGCTACGCAGAAAATGTAGCTTTAGAAATCGCTTTAGAATCGTTATATAGAAATTTGGTCCCTGATATCGTTAGTCGAGAAGTTCAGCTGTACACTCATAAACTCATCAAAAAAAAAACTCGGAAAACTTTATAAAATCTAGTTCTAAACATTAGCCATCTTTATAGACTTTAGATTTAAAAATTGAAATGGAAAACTATTTTAATTACTTGTTTTTGCTTGCTTGCTTTCGTTTGCTTGTTTGCTTGCTTGCTTGCTACTTAATCGCTTGTACTTGGTACTCATTCAAAACAACTCAAGCTTAGATCGTTAATGCGGGACGAATTACTACTGGTTCCGCCCTTGGAGCGCAAAACGATTGAGATCGGGGAGAGCATCTTTCTTCACAACATCGCTCGCCACGCCGATTCGATTCTCCGAGCTGTGCGCTCGAAAAAAAAAGAAATGAATGGATCAGTTACCGTAATCTTATAGGGATTAAGTTTAGTTTTGCTTGATATGGGGGTTAATGGAAAAGTTACAGAAAGCCTACCGTAATCTCATATGTTTAAGCTATTGTTACTAAGGTATTGTTACTGCTATTGTTACTGGTTTAGCTTATTGTTAAAAAGTTACTGCAGTTTATCTTTGCATTGTGTTTTATGGATCTCTTATATGGAGCTCTAGAAACTATTCTCCAAGGATTCGTCTAGGCTACTTCTTCAATTAAAAAAATTCATAGTTCCAAATTAATCTCACTTTTCATGTGAGCCTTTCTTTTTTCCAACATTTTACAATCCTTATCAAAAGAGGGGGAATTGAAAAACGTAGAATCGATGCAAAGCCACGTGCTGTGTGGCTTTTTGTTTAAAAGAAATGATTTAAGAATTCAGATATCTTCAAGAATCCAGATATCTTCAAGAATTCAACATATCTTACTGGCTCAAGAGTTGCTCTCATTGGTAATCACTAGCCTTATCAGTCAATCCTCTAGTGACTAGGTTTCCTTTGCTCACCATCAGTTGGTGGATTCAATCGGTTCTTGCAAATCTCTTGGAGAAGCTTGGTGAGCTCGGTCGCAAAGTCGCTGCTCACGAGCGAGTGGCGGGAGAGATCAACGGCTGGCTAACACCAACAACACAACGAAAAAACCACATCAATGAGGTGAAAAAGGGCAAGAGATTTCCTGAAATTGAGGTTATCGAGATGTTGGATAAAATGAAAGCTAAATGATCTAAATGAGCTAAATGATGTCAAGGCATATATTCGAAAGTTTAACATATCTGCTTACTGCAGCTTTGGTTGCTAATGTTTAGCTTGTTGGATCGAGCTTGCGCTATGTTTACTGTGGATTACTGTAGCTTGTAGTCCTGTTGCTTGTACTA